ACTTCTCGGTGTGGAGGCAACTCTGTCAAATCCTCCGAAAACATATCTAGAAAATCATGAACAACTGCAAGATAATCTTCTTTTACAACTTCATCATCTTCGGCTATAAGGCTAGCCAAAAAGTAATCACCACGACTCCGTCCACGAATTCCGTAAAACGATGAAATGTGGGAATCACTCCGATCTCCCACGAAAAAGAAACAATCTCCCTCAGGAGTACAAACTGTAACCCTTCCTCTGTAACAGTCGATCGTGGCATGAAAGAAAGCTAACCAATCCATCCCGAGAATGACATCAAAGCTAGTCATCTCCAGGAGGATAAAGTCAAACACAAAAGTCTGCCCGGCTATCACAATGGAATAGTCCTTCACGACTCGGCTCAAAGACACTGAAACTCCAACTGGCGTATCAACATACAACGCCCGATCCATAAAACTGACCTCTAAACCCGATGCAAATGCAAATGATGATGAAATGAAAGAATGAGATGCACCAGAATTAAACAAAATACGGGCCCAAGAAACAAACACTGGAAATATACCTCGGAGAACTGAAGATCCAGGAGATGCATCAGTCAGTGTAAGGGCAAAGACACGCCCCTACGGTGCCTGTGCCTGTGAACTACTAATCTGAACACCAGACTGTTGTGCCGACACAGTAGGAGTATCCCTCCTAGCTGGTCGTGAACCCTGAGAAGACAAGGCAGGCTGTGGTGGTGGCGGTGGTCTGAAACCTGATTGAACTGTAGCCGACTGTAACGGCCTCTGCCGTGACCCTCTGCCACTAGCGGTGCCTGCTCCCTGACTCGGACAGTCCCGAATCAAATGGCCCTGCTGGCCACACCCATAACAAGCTTTCGGAGATGAAGAAATTGAAGTCAATCTCATGGGATAATTGGACTTGTAATGTCCAAGCTGCTGGCACTGAAAGCAAACAACTGCACTCCTATCAGACCCAGCTGGCAAAGGAGTGGTAGGAGCAGATCGTGCAGACTGCTGCCCCTGAAACTGAAATGAACCACTCTTATTCTTCTTCCAAGAGGATCCTCTGAAAATGGCCCTGTACCCCTCTTTTGCTTCAACTGCTCTCTTCTTGCATCCTTTTCTTTATTATCAGCCTCCAGCATCAAAGCCCTTTCCACTGCTTCAGAATAAACCTTAATGAACTGTGCCGTGATCAACGGCCTCATCTGATCAGTAAGACCAGAAACAAACTTCCGAGTCTTGTTAACTTCATCTCTCACCATTTCTGGAGCAAAGCGAGAAAGTGAAGTGAACTTGTTCTCATATTCCGCCACTAACATGTTCCCTTGAAAAAGGTTATGAAACTGGTCTTGTAACTCCCATATTTTGGAAAGCGGAAGTACTTTTCATACAACAATTCCTTGAACTTATCCCAACTCATTTCCTCCACATTGTACCGGCTCGTAACCGACTTCCACCATAATTTGGCATCCTTAGCAAACTTATAAGTAGCTAGGATGATCTTCAAATGATCCTTCGTCACATCCATTGAAATCAATTGAGTTTCAACTTGCTCCATGTAGTCATCTGCTATCATTGGATCCGCACCGCCCTCAAACATAACCGGCATCAGCTGAGAAAACCCCCTTAATAATCTTGAGACGCTTTTGAGCTGACATCTCCTCAACTTGAACTGTAGGTTGTGGTGCCGACCGCGACTGAGCAGCAATCGTTGCCCTCACGGCATTTTGCAATAAACGATTCAACTCCAGTGCCACAGAACCTTCACCCACTTCTACGGGTGCTTCAACATTATCCCTCCTTATGGGGACAACTCTCGAGGGAATCAAGTCCCTAAGAAGTGTGTCCTCATCATTTAGCTCCTCTGGATTGGAGTTGGAGCTCTCACCAACATCACCTCTAGTCGGCCTGGAGCCAACTTCCCTTTGTTCCTCACGCCGTGACATCGTGCTACAAAACGAGAAAACGGTTCAATGACATTACACTAAAGTCCACTATAGACGACTCAACGTGAAATGATGTCGTAATGACACTTAGCATGCAAAACCATGAAAGAAACATTTTACCATAGACATTTAAGCACGTAAGCACATAAGCAGTTAAGCATGCTTGTTCAAGTAATAAGCAAGTAGCAAATAGTCAATACACAATGAAATCAACATCCCACGCAATCCTATGTAGGCCTCTACCCGTCGTCCTAATGGTTTTCAAACCATGGACTCTAATACCAAATTTGTAATGACCCAAGCTGATGCCAAAAATAAATAAATAAAAATTCAGCATAACCTCCCCTAAAAATGATTCTTCAACAACCTGTCCTAATACACAAAACACATAATATACTCCAGCATCCCATTCATCCGTTCATTATACGTCAACATAGTTCCTCTCATGGTGGAATATCCACACACCAATTAATCTAAATTATCATAATTATAGTCCCAAAATACATGGTTAAGATTTAAAGTCCCTGTCTTACAATGTTACATGATACAATTGTATGGAAATATATAATGTAATTCCATTAGTTTCATTTACATCAAACGAAAGATAAGTTCTTTCTTAAGTTACAAGGCCATGAATACTAACTTAGTTACATTTCCACAACTATGAATATACATAGAATGGTCAAAATACAAAATAGCAAACAACCTTCTAACAACTTTCAAGCTTAAGGTGGATTGTCATCCACTGGTTCATTTCCAAGACCTGAAAAAAGATAATATAAATAGTGGGGTGAGCATAAAGCTCAGCAGGTGACACTTAAGACATACATCTTGTGTCCTTGTGAATCCAAACAAAGCATAGGCCAATGGGAAATGGGGATCATACAATGTCAGGAAATAATACAGCATAACGATTTAATCTCAAGTATATCCAATGCAATGCATGCTAGTGTTGCTCTCCATTTTCATAATCCAAAACATCATTTCTAAACTGTTAATCCAGCCCGCCCTTTGGTAGCCCCGCCGCGACACGAGAGGAGGATTGGCTAGTGTCCCTGACCCTTGGTAACCCCGTGGCGTCATTATGGGGCCCAACTAGCTCAACCACGCTAGGGCGACTCCCTAGTCCCCTCTAAGCTATATTAACCTCCGGCCCGTTGGTAACCCCGTAACGACCGGGTTTCACATAAAACCATTTCATCAAAAACACTTCCCTGAAATTCCCCATATTTATTTCAAGAACAATTTCCCCCATTTCATGCAAACCCAATGGTATGTGCGTGTATATATGTTCCATACATTCAATGTCATGGCATTTAAAATTCTACACCATAAAATTAAACATTCAACATGTTCAACATCTCCTAAGTAATTATTAACACATTCAGATACAACAAAATACATTTAAGCATGTTTTACACATAAAACAACTCACATTCATACACATGAATTTCTCTAGACAACATTTAAAATAATCATTGATACAATTAACTTCTAATTAAGCATGCTTGGCATAGCAAAGGAGTATAACTCACAATGGAACAAGAAGGTAGTGGATTAAGGTGTCCCTACCTCGCACAAAACCCTTAAAATGGGTCTTGAATTTCGAACTCCAAAGAGGGCACCAAATCTGGAATTGTTCATATGGATGCGTAGAGCTCGTAGTGGGCTTCGTTTTGCCTCAAACGGCACCTTAATCCGCCAAGAATTGAGAGAGAAATCAAGATTTGAAGTTGTAAAAGAAAAAGGAAAAAGAAAATACAGAGGCAGCAAGAGAGAGTGACTAAAGCTGGCCGAGAGAGAGCAGATTGAAAAATAAATGGGTCTGTAATGACCCTTATATCACAGGTGGGCCCCACAGTGGAAAAAGTCATTGTTTACTAATTATATATATATTGATAAACATTACACATATAATCGATGTTGAACTTGCAATGTATTTAATCAAGGGTGCTGTTAAGCTTGAGAAGATTACTTTTGATCCTCGCAATCCATCCCTTATGGGAACCCCATTTGAGTTTGAGGAGACCAAGGAGAAAAAAGTAGCTAGAAAGCGCGTCGAGAAATTTCGAACCAAACTTCCTACTGGAGCAGCTTCGATAATCCTTTAATTAATTATGCGTTTGTATAACCTATTGGTAGTAGATCCTTCTCTTATAAATTTATTTGACATTTATATAGTGGATAGTTGAATAATTTATTTGACATTTATATAGTGAATAGTTGAATCTTGAAAAGAGGCTTATCAGGAGGTATTAATTGCAAGAGAAAGTAGAGAGATTTTATTTATTGGGAGTATGACATTACTTATTAGTGCTCAACTAAGGTGTCTCCGGTTGAGGAAAAATATGCTCACTTGGTGATCTGAGCACCTTAATTGTTACAAGGTTTTAAAAATGTGTCTGTTGGTATATAAAAATCCAAATATATATATATATATATATATATATATATTTGGATTTTTATATACCAACAGACACATTTTTAAAACCTTGTAACAATTAAGGTGCTCATATATATATATATATATATATATATATATATATATATATATATATATATATATATACCATTTTTTCAATGAGATATATATATATATATATATATATATTTGGATTTTTATATACCAACAGACACATTTTTAAAACCTTGTAACAATTAAGGTGCTCATATATATATATATATATATATATATATATATATATATACCATTTTTTCAATGAGATATATATATATATATATATGTATACCCTTTTCCCAATGAGCGGGGGTTGAGAGGGGAAGCATCAATTTTAACTTCAACCATCATTTATAAAAAATTTACCATCTTCTTATTGCTCCACTATTGTAAATTGTGATTTCTCAATGTGCAGAAAAAGGCAATGAAACTTCTTTTAAAGAGAACAAAACATATGCTATGTCCAACCCATAATTTTGAGAACAAATTACCAATGACCAAAAAACAAAGAATTTATTTGTAACAATAATCAATATTTAAGAGCAGTTAAATGGTTTACATGTTTGAACACACGCATCACGGTGGGATTTTGAAAGGGGAATTTAGAATTGGTTTTATCTATGAAATGGGAACTGCCGAATAAATTCACAATCTCACTAGTTATACATCCATAGTCATACCTTACAAATTTAAAATACAGGGGGAAAAAGTGAAACATTCTTTCCGTTGCCAAGTGTTCATATATTAGCTGGTGTTCCCGGACTCTGGTGAAACACTAGAAGAAGAACAGCCATTCTCTATCGCCATTGCCTCATCGGGTGAGCTTGGAGCTTTTCGAGAACTCTTATATCTAGAAAACAAGTAAAGAATTGACAAGTTCCTCTTTTGAGGCTCTTTCAAGGTGCTCAGAGACTGGCAAACAATGTCACTCCGTGAAATGCTAGCGGAAGAACAATCATAGTCTATAGTCAGTGCCTCCTCATAGGGTGGAATGCTTGCAGAAGTACTGCTTATGTATGCATTCATCGAGTTCTCGGAGAGTGAGCTTAGATCACGCTGCGAACCTTGTCTGAGCTTCATAAGTGTAGTCTCTGCATCGAAGGAAAGGTCATTCAATAAATCCCTCAAGTCGGAAGTTAGCACATACTGCTAGATAATACTTTTCTCTTTTATAGATGCATCAAAAGCTGTTAAAATGTCATAGGAGCAACTAGCAAAAGAAACACTGAAATAATCATTCTCTGTAACCTTCATCGCTTCCTCATTTGTGTTTGACAATATGGTTGATAACTATCTTCCCAAAAGTAATTCGCACAAAAATATTATTTGTGAATGAAGCCATACTTTTGCAAGACGTGCAAATTATCAATTGAGAATGCACATACAAGCTTTCATGTACAAGAAGGTTAATGTCAAAATACAAAATGCTAAGCTAGGAAGGAAACTGATTCAAGCAAGTACTTCCCGCGTGTTATTTGCCAGAAACAGAAACAAGAGGACCGTTTTCTATTAGCTCTGCTCATCTCTAAACATTTTATCAGTTATTGTTGGTCCATTTTACTGCAAGTTCCTGAGTAGTATCAATTGAATCCATCCATCCATGCCACTATTCTTACTCCTATAAACGGGAATTTGCAAGGATGAGCAGGTAGCCTGACATGCATAGCTTAATAATTTTGAATTAGGAAATTACTTTTTCGGAATCCGAAAGATTTTCAATTGATATCTTGTATTCAGTAAACCAGTTCACTGCTTAATAAATTCATTGAGTTCAAATCCTGCAAGGTACTACTATATCTACAATTTGCATATATGTGCATGTGTATAAGCGTATTTATGCATCCTGCATGCAGTACTCTGTGTGTGTGTGTGTGTGTGTGTGTGTCCATAGTTGCCTCCTTGGGGAAGAAAAGAGCCGGTGAAGACGCAACTGAGTCAAAGAAAGTAAAAGAAGAAGACTAAAGTTGTCTGAAAAGGATTGTCAATTACAAAGGACAGTCATTGCTGTCAATGTGAAGCTTTTGACTGTTGTAACTTAGGTTGTCTTTATATAACGAATCGACGATTGTATGCCTAAGATGAGCTGGTGGAGCTTGCATTTTCCATTCATGAATGAAGGATTTATTAATACAGCATAATGGGAAAAAGTAAGGTGGTTTATATAACTATGAAACTGCAAGTACCTTGTTTAAAACTTAGTATCAGAAATCTCAGGCTTTAATCAAAACTACATCAAATCTTAAGCTTCTCAAGGAACAAAAGCTTAAGATACCTAACACAAATTTAAAACGCAAGAAAAAATTAGCAGGATTTTATTTGGTTCTCCTCTTTAAATTATTACTATATCTTTACACATCCTGCAGTTTGTCCACAAACATAAAAATTATGTATGCTGAGGCAAAGTATCAAACAGGTGGTGAACGAAAATATCAGCTTGACAAATGAGTACTTAGAAAACAACAACAAATACAGAATTCCATTTCTTTAAACAAACCCATGCTAGGAGAATCGATTTTGGAGCAATCTCACCCGAAAGAAAGATGATCAAATGATCACTTCAAAATCAAACTAACTAAATGGCTAGCCTAGAGTCCAATACTGATTAGTTGATTTCGTGAACTACCACTTTCGCAGCCTAGACAATGTTACAACGTTAAAGATCTTCTAATTAACATCTCCTAAAAGTAATTAACTCTCATTCAAAAACTGCAGCTTCTGTTACTTCAAACAACAACAAAATTGCAGCAGAAGTCGTACTCTTGGACAGAGAATTAATTTGTGCAAAAGCTACCACCCCCTTCTCTTTTGTGTTGCGTATGAATATAGACTCGCAAACACTATAAATATTTTGAACAATTCCAAAATCATTCACAAAATTCATAAATTATTCTTCAGAATTCGAGAATGGCAGTAATTGCTGCCGCATTTTAAAATCTCAATTTCAACCACCGCCTAAATTCATGCTTGAAGCATTCCCCGCCCAAAATTCTTGCAGAAAACTATCTCAATTCAATTCTAAGTGTTTTAGCTGCCAATTCTACTACTAAAACTAGATAATTACAAATTAAATAAAAAATAATAAAAAAAACTCATAATTCATGTTATCTTGATATTGATCTTAGTCACTAAAGTGGGTTCTGTTTGAAAATTAAACAGGGGGGAAAAAATCCATTTCACACAATCTGATTTGAATTATGGAGATCTATGATAAATATTTTTAAAATATATATATATATATATATATATGAAGAGTTTAATTGGTATCAAAACAGGAATTAGATGTGAAAATAGAGGAATAGCAATAATACCGTAGATGGAGAGAGAATCGTCTTTGATGATCTTGGGAGGTGACCTCTCCAACTCCAAGCATTCCAGAGAACTAGATGACGGTCTGACCCTCCCCAACATTTCCTCTCTTTCTCTCTCTAAAACTCTCTCTCTCTATAAGTTTAAAGACAGGGACAGGGACGGGGGGAGGTTTGGAACTTTGTATCTTGACGCGGCAAACAACAAAAAAAAGAAGCGGGAACCAAGTCTGAATGATCGCGGCAAACTTCTTTTGGGCTTCTTTTTGCACCCACTAATTGGGCCACTAGTTGGCCCAAATTCAAATAATTTATTTATTTATTTTAACATTCAAGCTTAAGACCTCTAGAGAGCAATCCTAACTATTTTCATTTCAATTCAACTTAAAGCGAGCTATAAAAATATTTCATATTTGGAAAAAATTAAAAGAGAGAGTAATTCAATTTTGAATCATATGAAAAAATTAAAAGAGAGAGTCAATCAATTTTGAATCAGTTAGTTCAATCATTTCAAATATTTCATATTAAGGCTCGTCTATTTCAACATAAACTTTTTTTAAGTAATATATATATATATATATTTTTGGTGTTTGGTAAAGAAAAAATTAAAAGGGAAAGTCAATCAATTTTGAATTTATTAAGTAACTAGTAATTTATTTGTCGAATAGAAAATTTCTGTGTGTGTTACTCTGTTATATCCTTTGTAATCATCATTCTTAAGGTAATATCCAAATATCCATTCACTTTCAAATAGTAAAATTTACTTCCACTCATAATTAAACTTGAGACTTCAAGTTACTATTTCGAAAGAGAAAGAGATAAAAAAAAAAAAAAAAAAAAATTAGAAGTGGCAATCAATTGCGCATGAATTTATAAAGTAATTAATTAGGCATGTAGTCCAATAATATAATCTGTACATTCTTGCGGAAGGAAAGGGCTTGAGCTCGTGTAGACAAAATGTGTGTGTGTTTTTTTTAAAAATAAAAAATCAAAAAAAATCAAAAATAAATAAATAAATAAATCTTTTTTAACTGATTTTACTTTATCCTTAGGTTGAAGTATTCCTTCACCTTAGATCAATTAAAAGTCACTCTTTTTCTTAGGGTTGTTTGTTTCGACGTAAAATATATTTTTTAATTTTTTTTTTTAGATAAAATATTGTTTTATTTTTACTTTGTCGGTATTTGGTAAAAGTCTATACTTGTCTCTTCTAAAATTCTCTCTGAAAAGTAAGAGGCTGATATCGCTAGGTCACTGACCCGTTAATTTTGATAGGGATTTATTAACTTATAGGATATAGGTACTTGTAAAGATACATTTTATTTTTAAAGAAAATGATTGTAAGCCCATACGTTCTCCATTTCAACCAAGCAATAAAAACTCGATGTTGGTATGGTTATGTGAGGATTTTTTGGTAAGGTGGTTGGTTATTTGAGGTTCTTTAGGTATTCTTCCATTAATAAGCGAGCCACTTTCTGCTTTGCTTTCGTTTATTTATTTGTTTATTCCTAAATGGTTTGGTTTACTTGTATGTTCTTGCAGGCGTCATTTCTCTCCCTGAATCTGCACTCTCTCGCCGAACAACTTGCAAAAGTAGATCTATCACAAAGGCTCATTAATATTTTTTTCTTTTGTAAATATTTTACAACAACCAAACACTAAAAAATAAAAAAATATTTTTAAAAATATATATTTTACCTCTAAACAAACCGAGCTTATAGTCTTGGCTAACCGAGCTTATAGTCTTGGCTAATCAAACAAGCTTTTCACTTGTTTTTCATTTCCCATTCACTCCATCCGGAAAATAGAAATGATAGTTTTTAACAATAATGCTACTAAACTCTTCCAAGTGAAGAAAGATGATGATTCTTTTTTCAAAAAAGAAAAATATGAAAATGGTTCCATATATAGTAATGCTACAAAATAGTTTATATATCATTTGCACTCAACTAAAAACTTAAGAAGTTCATTTTAGTAAATTGTAGATAAAATTGACCATTTTGAGTCATCAAACAAGCAGTAGAACAGCTCAATCCAAGGAAAATGATTCTTCCTCTAATAAATGGCAAACAGAGTACGGATTGAAAGCATGTGGCTGAACCACACACTCATCACGTCTCTGGCTGGATTCAGCAAAAGATTCCATTAATTCCGAACCCACATTTTCTGGGAAAATTCTCAACGAAAAGAAACTTGTGGAGATTGAGACTTCCAACATTCAGAGCATGAAACAATCAAATCCCTAGAGACATTTTTTTTGTTTAGGCAAGTCACCTTCCAAACGAAAATTAAATTGACAAAGCAAAAGATTTCCATTGTTCAACGCTTTTGCAGAAGTCTGTTAAATACTCGACAGCTAGTTGGCAACACTCTCCATAATGTCTCCAATTTAAGCTCTCCGCAGTGTCTCCAAATAAGAACAAGCTTGAGTGGCGGTGAGGTAACAGTCCTGCTGCTGCAAGCAAAAATATCATCAGCTACTAGCATGATAAGGTTGCACGAAAGATCAATACAGACGGAAATTTTGACATGAAAAATATATGAAATAATTAGTACAAAAGTTACATGAATTGTGTTAAAGGTGGTCGGTCTTTCATGAAGTTTTTACTCCTAGGTATTTTACTCATCTAATCATTTCCCCGACATGAGGATGCATCTCTGTACCAAAAGGTAAGGTTACTCCAGGAATGACATGGTACACTCATCGAGCAAAGAGTCACTTCAGAAACTACTTACTACAAAATGAAATGGGAACCTTATTCTGGATGCTAGATAAATTTTAATATACAAATGCAACCCCCCACATAATTAAAACTTAAATGATTCGGCTAAATGAAATGAACCATTAATGTGGAAAAAATGACCAACTGAAATTGAAATCATTGGACCATTTAAGGAATGGGAAAGATACTCAAGGTCAAAGGACCCAACAGCTTTTAACCACTCAATTGGATATATTAAATTAATAATCATAATCACTTCTATTTTAAATGCTATCCAACCATAAAACATCTAACATCACGCTATATCTTCCACACGGACAAAAAATAAACAACCCAGGAGATGCCAACCAAACCATTACCCAGCATGGTTCCCATTGATTACCAAGGGTGCTGGGAAGGTTAGACTGTTAGACTTGGCATAGACCTAATTTCTGGCATCATTTTCACAAAGCAATTGTCCATTAGAACTTTAAAAATTAACAAAATTCAGATGACAATAAAAAGTACATCTTAAGTAACCACACTAGGTTCCTAAACTCAATCAAAACAAGGAACATTTACCTACTTCATAGATCGATCACGCGAGACAGCTTCTGAATCCGGTTTAATAAGAAGTCCCCTTGTTTGATAGTTGCTTGATAAAGAGCATTCTTTGCATCAGGACGATTAGTTTCCAAAACACCTGCAACTTTATCAATTTTGCAATGAAGCTTCCCTGCTGCAATAAATCGAGACAGTTCCCTGGATCCATCGAAATACACAAGTAAACACCTCTAGCTCCTAACAAAAAAGTAAAAACTAAATAACACAAAAGAGAACACAATTGAGAATATCCGCGAAAATGAACCACTTACAAATCAATGAAATCCACTGATACACCAAACGCCTTTGCCATCGCTTCAATTGTAACACTCTTGTACGACTCCAAGAACTGGGAATACACAACGGTTCTAACCTCCCTCATGTAATACCGGAAGTGTGGGTGCAAATAGCGGTCCAACTTTACATTCTCAGTCAGGCCAGCTGAAAGTCATCCAAGTGAAAATTATAACTCAAATATACCAGAAAACTAATAAAATTGAATGAAACCTGACAGGTTTAATCAGTACAGGTGGTATTGGCTATCGTCGCACTAGCAGAGAGGGCAAGCGAAATCCAAATGCCACTCGCATATATTACATTCCAGTACAACCGACATTGTTTACCAATAGATTTATTAATCTGAAGTAGATATTTTATATGAAAATCTACTATGATTAGACTAGATCAGCTATTCACCTTCAATCTTATACTTGGACAGAACAAAGACATATAAATGCTTCCAAAAAATTATGCAAACCAAACACTTAAAGCTCCGCAATTAAGACTAATTTTTTAAACTCCTGATCTACTGAATGGGACCTATTTGTTGGTTAGTCCCATTCCTTTTTCTCATATGCTTCAGATGTGGATCCCAGGCTTACTCGATATGGCAATCCTTAGGCAAGCAGATGATATGTACTATTGCACTTTGAAAATCTATCAGATATCAGTTTCAGGAGGGATGCCTCCTAAATGAAATTTATTTCAATGACTTGAGATGACCTTCAAGAAAAAGAGAAGTATTTTGCATGAGAATTTTGTCATATGAAAAATCATTGAATTAGAACACATGAAAAGGATGGTGAAGGCCGGAGGGTCTATGATAGAACTGGAAAAAACTATGCAATGCAACAAACTATATATACACACGCACATGACCAAATGCATACACACAATTCTGAATATATTCAATTAAAAAGGAAGAGTATTATGTACACTATATTTACTCACCAAACGCTGAGAAAAAAGATTTGTACTGACAATCATATAGAGAGTTCATAAAGTCAGACAGAAAAGGGATCTTTCCAATCACTGTCAAGATTTCAGGAGCATCAACTACCTGCCACAGAGTAACCATAGTTAGAATGTCAATTAAACCAACCTCCTCCCCCCAATCCTACCCCCATCACCACCCCCAAAAGGGAAAAGAGGAAAACCAAAGACGACGACAACAACAACAACAACAATAATAATAGAAGAAAGAAAAGAAGAGCCAAACTCTCTCTCAAGAAAATAGGGCAAAAATACAGGCAGAGGCAAAACTGAATAATACCTTTTGTTTCAGAGAAACTCTATCCAATGATATAATGCTTGTAAGGACGGTGTAAAAAATGAAGGTGTCATAAGGGAAAAGTTCATAAGTAGTGAATGTTGAGATGGAATCCAGAAAAAGATCTGCGGCTTTTTTAAAGTTACGAATGGACATGCAGTACAAGCCTTCATACACCTTTAGACGGTTCTTCCTTTCCCAGTCACCTCCCTCTTCAAACAAGCTGCCATTGGTGTATTAGAGTAAGAATTCATGCTGAACTGCAATGCTTTAAATAAGAGAGACTGCAGAAGAAAATTTCAAAAAAAAAAAGGGATTTTGTGTCCATGCTTACTTCTTCGCTTTATCAATGCTTTTAGAAATGAGATCAAAATCCATATAGAAAAAACCAAGCAGCAGTGTATGGAAGACCAAGTCCATCTTCTGCCCAACTGCAACAGTTTTGCTTTCAGTTACCTTGAGTTGTTCTAATGCCTTATCCTGGAATCACAAAGGAATAAGTCAGAAAAAGGTTCACTGAACTGGCCAAGACTTTATGTAATTTTTAGTCATAATTCTTATTTACCTTGTCACCAATTCGAATGTAAAACAAGGATTTAGCTAAATGAGCTTCTCGAACTTCACTTTCGCCAAGGTTTTCTTCAGCATCAGCAATTCTAAACAAATTCAATTAAATATAAATGAGCAAGAACAAAAGAATTTAGGACCTTAGGAACTTGGCACCTCATAGATACAATGTAATGATCACATCACAACAAAATGCAGTGGTGGAAACATAAGGTGCAGTATGATCAGACTAACCAACTGGTCCATATAAGAGGACCTCATAATATATAGTTTACAACAGAACTCAATAATCATTCACACTAGCTAACCCAGATCCTTTTCAAATATATGTGGAATTCATCAGACATGGTAAGAAACAAACCACATTACCAATTGATAGAAGTTACATAATGGGATTAGTTAAAAACCATATTACCAATTGAACTTATTTAAATTCCACACACACAGAGGAAACTATTCCACCATTCTAGCATGAACTAATATATATATATATATATATAGACACATACGCATTGATAAAGGGCGTTTTGTACCTTCCAGATTTATTGAATATGCAGTAACTTGAAAATTAGGAAGTGGGTTATCAAGTCATTGCATATTGGTTAAAGCACTAGTACAGGATTAAGGCTATGTCTGATAGGTGGGAAAGAAGGAAGGGGGAGGGAAGAGAGGAAGGATAGAACATACATTTTTTACGTAGTAGAGGGAAGAATGAGAGGAAAGGGATGGGATCATAAATTAGGCATCCCTATGGGCTCACCAATTTGCTGCCTACCAAAACTGGACAAAAGGGAGAAGAAGGGAAGGATATTTCTTAACTGAAAATGTAAAGGGCATTCTTTATTTAATATTACCATATCAGATGTGTAATACTTATATAAATGAGGGTATAATAGTGAAAACCATATTCAAAACCTTCCCTCTTTCCTTTCTTCCTATCAAACAATTAAAGATGTCAACCACTTCCTTTCTTTCACTCAACCAAATAAAATCCTATCCCTTCTCATATCCCTTCTATCCACTTATTCTTCCCACCATATAAAGCATAAATCACTGGAGTTCAAATGAGTGAATGAGTGGCTAGGACGTGGGAAACCTTTTGCTAACAAGGTACTCCCTTCATCCCATATCAGATGTCCATGTTTAGAAATTGAAGTTTTTAAGGGGACATGCAATTAATGCATTGTCCCCTTTTAAAATTACCAACTTGTCCTTTTTAGTTTAGATATGTCTAGTTACAAGTTTGAATTTTTTTGAAAATATAAAGGACAACGATGGAAAGATAAGGCTTATTTGCTTTGACTTTTCAAAGTGGACAACCAATTTGGGACATTTAAAAATGAGATAGTGGACTAATACCATGGGACAGAGGTAGTAAAAGACATTGTCATGCGCAACATCTTGCCAATCACGAAGCATCTTGCCTGTCATCACGCAAGACAACGTCATCTCGGGTGAGACTATGAGTCGTCTTGTGATACGATAGAGATCACTTCGTCTACCATAATTCTTGTACCGTGTCTTAAAATAGGATTGATAACTTGAGATATTGAGACAAGCTAGATGATATGTCAAGGCACTGACTGCAACTTTAAACTTTGTGTGAGATACTGTAAATAGGTTAGGATGTAAGAGAGAGAATGTAAGAAAGAAATCAGGTCGTGGCCTTTGGACAATAAACATTGAGTGGTTGCAAAGTGAACAGCATTGTGTATTGCAAATAGAAGGCATATTGACTCCATCTCATGCGACAACACATCACTACTAAGAAGACTAAAGTGATATAAACAGGATGGCTGCAAATCAGGTAATTCATGAGTTGTCATGCGATACTTGCCAGGATGGCGCCAACTATATTGGGTCATCTTATCGGATCAGAATCCAATAAAACTGAGATGACTGGGCAAGTCGAAGCAGGGCAAATGCATCAAATCTTGAGTAATTTGCTCGGAGTGGAAAAACCTAAAACATACAAGCAGATAGTATGCAAGGAATGAAAAGTATAGGGAACGACTAGTAATCTGCAGTCAGTGAGATGACCTAATAACATCAGCAACATTAGTTCAAGAAGGAAAAACTATAAAGGGTCAAATTGCACAAAAAAGGCAGCATACTAGAGCTCACCTGCAGATGTAGAGAAAACCATCACCACCACCATTACCACTATCATCTTCATTGCCGTTATCCCGTTTGAATGGAGCAGGCCACATGGATTCTCTTTTTTCATTCTCTTCTATCATAAGCCATTTCACCTAGTAGATTTATCTATTTAAAATCATTTCTTATGTATTCATTCCATGTTAGTTTGGGCTGACCTACTTTTCCTTGGAAATCTATTTGAGGACGAAAGCTCCCTTGAAGGTGGCTTTCTTCTCTTGGACTGCTGCCCTGGGAAGTATCCTATAGAAACCAATCTTCATTCTCTCACCAGTGCATCTACAGGTCTACATTGAATATATCAACCCACCTGAGTGTACTTTCTCTATTTTCATTAATATGTGTAATTTCTCCCTTAACATTCATTATTATCCTTTTCTCTTCTCGTTACTCTTAACATCCATCTCAGTATTCGCATTTCAGCACCATGAATGTGTCGTTCTTGTCTCTCTTTTTTTTCCTTTTCCTTTTTTTTTTTCCTTTTTTTTTCTTGTTTCTTTTTTAACACCCAATACTTTATATGGACTTTGTTCCATATAGGATAGTCGGTCTAGTGACTGTCGTATATACCATCCCTTATAACTTATTTGATGTTTGTTTGTCGTACAAAACACCCCACTACCTTGCCTCCATTTTGTCCAACCTATTCAAATTCTACTACTTATATCATCATCAATCTCTACGTCCTTTCATGGGATTGATCTTAAATTTCAAAAAAGATTACTTGAGTAATGCTTTGGTCTTGAATTGTTATCACTATATTATCATTTCCTATAATATGACTAAATTAACATTCCATAGATTCTGCTTTAGTTCAACTTATGTTTAGACCATTTGAGATTAAAGTTCTCCAAGTTTCCAATTTTGTTGCAAAAGTTTCATTTGATTTATCCAATAGCACTATGTCTTCAGCAATTATGTTACTTTTTTTTTTGGATAAGTCTTCAGCAATTATGTTACTTAGGCAAATAACATGCATCAACAAATAACGACAATAATTGACCTCAAGTGATCCTAAAAGGTTAAATTTTTATACTTCAGATACATAAAACTAGTGATGTAGGATGGGTAGTGTGATCTGATACCAAACTGATTTAGAGCCAAAAGAGAGAAGGAAAGTGAGGAAAAGAGAGAGAAGAAGAAGGAGGGAAGAAGAGAGTAAAAGAATAATTGGGTGAGAGGAATCTGTAATCAACTCAATATTATTCAATAATCATCAATGGTGGTCAATCCAACACATATGCCCATGTATATATATAGGCAATACAAAAGAAACCCAAGTCCAATATAGCTGCTACAATATATGATGCAATCACATAGAAGTCAAAAATGGTTGTCATGTAGCTGTGCCTATGTTCGGTGCCGAAAAATAGCCATGCTCAGTCCAACAAAGATGCAAGGCCTTAAGACCTTACTCATAGGCAAACCTAACCCTGATACTAATTAAAAGGATATATTCCAAAACTAACTCATATCTATTAATATTTCTAAAATATATAAGAAAGCTCTAAAATCTATTTGTCCTTGCCCGTCCTCCAAGCATAGGTTAGAGTCATGTGCGGTTCAAGCATACAATACAAATTATGATCTCCATCAACTAGTGAACAGTATGTGTGCGCATGTATGTGCATGTGTTAGTAGAATGCAAGCATACCAAAAACAAAAACATGGTTGAACTTCATTGTCCAATAAATAATAGGAAGATTGAAAGAGAGGTACCAAAAATTTTGCAAAAATAGAAGTCAAAATATTATTAATCAATCAAAAAGGTAGGGATAAATATAATTCATCACAATTTCACAAACGATCAAAGAAAGGAAGCTCAACTAATATTTAGAAAACAATCACCCATCCTCCCCCCCCCCCAAAAAAAACATAAAAGAAAGAAAGAGAGTGAAGAGAGAGAAGGAAAAAGGACCAAATTAAAGTACCAAAGGTACTCTCATGGCATTGTGAGCAATGAATAACCCTATCAAATTACTGTTCTAAGTGGGAAATCCCCTAATTGACTTCCTGCTGACGGTACCAGAGTCTCACATCCTGATCCTGCCTTCTCACCGATCAACGAAAAAGAATCTTGCTCCGCTCTTGACTAGATGGTCGTCGATAGCGAACGTTATTGATGCAACGTAGATGAGCCTTATGGGGAAGGCCCTCTGAATGGGGCCAAAGTCTTCCCAATAGGAAAGTGAACAATGCCATTTTCACAAAATGGTTGTCATGCATATGACACAAGAACAGTTTGAACTTAATAAACAACAAGCCCATCAAATGAACTGAGGATGTTAGAAAGGTTTACTAACAAAATTGAATAATGCATTTGCATCAGCTTAATGATAGTGCAAATAGGTAATAGTCATGTGAAACAAAGCAATGGATGTGTGTGTGTGTGTGTGTGTGTGTGTGTGTGTGTGTGTGGGGGGGGGGGGGGGGGGGGGGTTTAAGAGGGAGAGATTAACTCTCAAAACTCATTGCAAAAGTGCTGTATAACCATATATAAAGACGAAAAGCAAAAAATAATTTTTCTAACTGATCCAATAATTTCCATAATGTCTGAGTGAGTTGAGTTGAATTTAGACTTGTCTTCTGGATATATTAGATTTTCCCCAATTAACTTTGGGGACTTCAACTCACTAAAATGGCATAATAGACTATAGTGTATCTTCCAAGTTCATTTTCCTGCTTTTCTCATCAAAATCATCCTAAAAAAATGAAGGTCTACCATGAATTATCAAAGTTATAGAACCCTCTACCAATAATGCAAAAATGAACATATAAAACCTTCGTCATCCCAAACGGAGAAGAAAAAGTGAATTGGATCTTCTCATTCCCTCATCTTCAAATTTAACCGAATTTTCACAAAATTAAATAAAACAATATTTAAGTAAAACAACAGTTGGAAGCCTATGCCCCCACAAATTCCAACATCTGTATGATCATCTTTAAAACTAACATTCACACTCTTCCATTCATTTGTTGGCCCTAAAATACAGATTTCTATTCTCTGGTTTTGAAGCTACTCATTTCGGTTTTGTTGTTCAACATTCTAAGTCCGGTATGAAGACACCAACAAAGCCACCTAACAAGAGCACAAACACTCCTCTTCCACTCTTAATATCTTACTATGTTGTGCATTAACCCCACAAAAAAAATGCAGTTTTGAACCCTAATTTATATCCAAATCATATGTCTCTATGCATACAAATACCACATGTATTGAATCATTAATTGAGTAATATACCAAATCAAATCCTGGGCTCATAACCAAAATTTCTTGTTAGATATAACAGAATTTAAAGAACTACATTAATAGATGACTAAGATGAGGCGATATAACAATTAATTCATAGTCCGACTTACTTATATAGTAATTTGAATCATCACATATGTATAGATATTGAGATATTTGTAACAGAGAGAAATTATAAACTCACTTTTCGTCGAGCTTCTTGAGCTCGTCCTTAATCTTGGAACGCATCGAATCCAAAACAGACTGATCCATATCCAACACAGAGTTAGCGGCTAGGGTTTCATAGAGCGGAGCCATATCTGCACCAATACATACAAAACCAATTAATCTAAATAATGGAAAAAGAAAACCCTTTTTCACGGTAGCGTCGGTGGCGGTGGTGGTTACCGTCGGCTTTGACGGCGGCGAAGACCTCTTCGCGGAGGCGGACCTTCTCAATGTCTTGGACATCTGGGTGGGTGAGAAGGAATAGTTTGTTACCGAGAACCAGCTGAGGATGCTGTGTACCTTCTTCACCTTCCATGGATTTTCTCCCTGATACAGATTTGTGGGTTCGCTCTGTTCACTTGGGACTTTGCTTGTGGAGAGAGAAACTGAGTCGGGGCAGATTGATTTTGCACACAATGGGAGGAGAAAAGAGATGTAATTGGGTGCTTCTCGGGCGTAACTCACAAGGTGGGACCTACTACAATTACCACTAATTTTCTACAATTGATTTTGACATTTGATGTGTTTAATTAATGCATTTTTTTTTTTTTTCCACTTCACATGTCTATCATAATGATTAATAATAACCTTAAAACTATGGTTGGTATAGTAGGAAAAAAAAAAAAAAAATTAGATAACATTAGTGAGGAGGAAAAAGAAATGAAATGAAAGAAAATGAGATGATAGTGTTAATTGCTTGCTGTATTTGTATTTGGTTGATTCATTAAGGGTCAGTTTGCTAGGATGGTAAAATAATAATAATAATAATAAAATAATTGTTTTTGTTAGCAAATGTTGGAGGGAAAAGAAAGGATTTGGAGGGATAAGGCATGAATAGTAGCTTTTGTTATCCTTCTAAAAATGAAAGAAAAGGAAAGGAAAGACTAATATTTTAATGATATTTTGTTAATATTAAATTTGCCCTTATTTTTATAAAAGAAAGATTTTATGAAAAATGGTATGATTGTAAATCCATTACAATAGTTTTTTTTTTCGTTTCTTTCTCAAAACATGATTACTATCTTTTCTTTTCTTTTTCTTTATTGATTGACCTAACAAAGCAACAATTAACACTATCATCTCCTTTTAATCATGTTCGGAAAAAAAATAATAATAATAAATAAATAAATAGGAAACTATTGTAATGAATTTACAACCATACCCTTTTATAGAGTTTTTCTTTTATAAAAAAAGACAAATTTGATATTAATAAAGTTTCATTAAAAATATTAATGTTTCCTTCCCTTTCTTCCCATTTTGGGGATAACAAAAACTACTATTTATGTCTTATTCTATCCCTCAAATCCTTCCAATATTTCCTACCAAACACATTTTTATATTTCCTTTCATTACCATTCCTTTCATTTCCATTCTACCAAAGCCCTACTTTTCTTTTCTTATCATTTCTATTGTGCTAAACTGGCCCGTTACTCGGTGATATGGTAACTATTAAGTGAATTTCAGAGATTTTTATATGATGTTTAACATTCTCTACTTAGGCCCTGTTTGAATAGTGCTATTCTGGTCAAGGATTTCAACTGAATTTTTTGCCCAAACGTTGTTTATGGGCTAAGCATTTGGGTTAGAATTCTCGACGGTAAAAGCATTTTCCTTCTTCTTTTTAGTTTTTTACTGCCAAAATGAAAAAAATAATAATAATAAATTGCAAAGTTGGGTTTGGAGACTTCCAACCAAACGACATCGTTGCAATAATAAGGGCTGGGTAGCATTATTTGTCCAAAAAATGCAGCAGCCATTCAGCGTTTTTGTTTTCAAGGTGATAAGAGACTTCAAGGCCTTGCTTGGATTAGAACTATGAAAAACTGAAAATTCTCAGGTGTTTCTACCTTCAACAACAAAGACGGATAAACCCTAACCCTGATCACTTGACTGTTCACTCATTCACCTCTTATCACTCTTCTTCGTAGTAAAAGAGTTATGATAGCCATTGCTACGCTTCAGCCTATATAATGGGCGAAAACATCCCAACCGTGGAATGCAACCAAGCATTCCAGCCATGAGTCCCACTTGGCTGCATTCCATGGCCGGGATGCTTTCGGCGCTGGGCATGAGAAGCATTCTCCTTGTAATAAATTAATAAAAACACACAACGTCAGTGGACAAGTTCATTATACAATTTGCATCAAACTACATAAAAGCACACCAATCTTTGAAATTGAATATGATAAAGCCTTCATTTCTTTTCTTTTTTTTTACCAATATAGTCTGCTGAGTACACAAATTTTACACATTAACTTCTAAAAGATTACACCAAAATGATTTATAATTTAAGACCCATAACGAAATATAAAACAATCTGCAAATTTTCCTAAAATACCATCGAATTTACAATGATGCAAACTTCAGAAACTTTGATCCACTATTTTCTTTCATTAAAAAGTTCCGTCTTTGAAATCAATGCCTTCTTCCTTTTCCTGATGTAATTTAGAACAAGGAGCTACTGATTCCTACAAACCACGCAACCACCAATTAAAAATACAAGGACTAGAACAAGAAAAGTGAGTGATTCTACAACAAATTTGAGCCATTTACCTCAGGCAACCGATTGAAAGACGTGCAACTACTTCGAGCTATTAGATACGTTCAACTTCTCTGAAACATACTGGTAAATGTTATCAAATGAAAGAAACCATGCGATTTCCTTGAAAATCATGAAAACATTAATGTGTAAGTTATCCAAACGAGTCTGCAAATCCAGCAGAAATGGGAAAGGGAGAATAAAGTCTGAAAGATGAAAAAACAAGCTAAATACAGAGTCTTGCATGTGGAAATTTAAAATGCACACAGTAAAACAAGATAAGACAAATTCCCGTTCTGAGCCTAATGTTGGGATGAAGGACTGAGCGGGGAACAAACCCGAAGGAAGAAGAAAGGAAGCTGTCGGCGTCTTGACTGCCTATCCAAATGCTATGCTACTTGGTAGCAGACTAAGGGAGCTCTAGGGGATCTTTACCTTAGCAGGATGAACCCATAAAGGTGGGCAAGGCTCCATGACCATAAGGAAGGCTGTCCTACAAGTAACAACACCTCGACCCAATACTTCTTACACACTGCAAGCATTGTTTCCCTTTCGTTCCTCAGTGGATTTTAAGGTGGATTACATGCATTGCAAAAAGTAGATGCCCTGATGAAGGTACAATGACCCTAGGCCTCTGGCATTTCTACCTAAAGACTTACCAGCTAAACTAGCACACCTTTCAATATCTTTTAAGTCCTATTGTACCTTACTTTTGTTAGGCAAACATAAAGTAATGTTTTTCCTGGTTAATGTATATACACTTGCCATTGCTATTAATTTTCCATGGCTAAAACATGTTTTATAATATGAATCTCATTCATGCAGACACACAGAAGCAAACCGGCAAGTACAAGTGATTAGCCTGTTTACTAGTTTCAGAGCTGCCAAAACAACTTACATAACTTGCAAGAAGCAGTGCCTTCATCTGGTCTACCTACAATTGACGACATTGACCATATAGAAGGTTACAAAAGGACTTTTTACAGAAATGCTTACCAGGTGTATGATCATCAATTCAGAATTCCATGTTTGAGAAGGGAATTTTAATGGTCCCCTTCAAAGAACTGGAAGGCAGCCCGATGCTCTTCATGTTGAACGTACTTTCTACTGACTCCATTGCTCGCGAAGCTTGAAGGGCCATCTCAGCATGGAGTTGGAGACATGTCATAGCCATCTGAGATTGAAAAGAACGTCTAAATGGTTACGAGGACATGGGAATTTATTAATTTAAATCAATGGAAAAAAAGTGCAATTACTGGAATGTCGATAAAGCTAGGTAACAAAGCCCGCAGGGGGAATCACATTTCCCCTTGGTTGCCAAGAAAACCAAAGGAAAGAAATGTAAATACAAATTATACATCATGTTGTCTCGGCTTCCAAAAATGAAAAGTAACTACGCCAAAGAGTTGTGTAAGGCCTGGCTGGGTTGAACCTTTTTTTTTCCCCGGATGCCAACTAATGAAAGATTTAATCCAAATACCTTTTTTTAATCATTATTCTCCTAGCAGCCGGATACCTTGGAAGTGAAAACTCCTTGCCAAAAATTGGAAATAAGTAAAACAAACTACGGAAAAAATAAAAATAAAAGCAAAATAAATCCCTCATTACACTTTCATACTGCTTTCCATATATTACAATGATTTACTTAAAATATAACTAATTAATTTAAAGAAAGAAAATCCTACGTCACAAGTCTTCCATTTCACTCCTGTGTCAGTATATCTGATACTGTGTCTCCACTGTCAATATCCACAGTTTTTCCCATAATGCAATTGAGTTTAACCCATCTTCGAGGAGAAATGTTTTGGTTGGTACCCTGGCCAATTACAGACTACTAAACTTTTTCAAATATTCAATAAATGAAACAGCACGATGGATCAGACAACAGTGTCCAATAACAGAATTTCACATTTTAGGTCTCACAGAGGATGATTTACAATAGGAGCTGTGATCAATTCAGTGTGTTAACATGCACTCTGGCCTTTGGGTTCTCACCTCCCATTATGCTTCATGAATGAATATTGTAATGACGGTTGAGGAAAAAAAAAAAAAGCCCCAGAAATTAAAACAAAAATGAAAATATATGCTTTGTTAGAAATAACCAGGGTAACCACTACTACTAATAGTTCCCAACAGGGTAACGCATTGATAATGCTCTTTAAAACAATTTCCTATAAGTGGTTAAACGCAATTTGCACCTGCCTAGGCTGCAATAAACCAAGCTGTTCTTGAACAGCTCAGGCACAACTTGCTAAAAACTTGGCTCGTCTACATTTATCAAGGAACGAGCTGAGCTCAAGTTTAAATTTTAATGCTCATTTATAAACAACTGAGCCTGAGTTTGTTCAATTAAACTTGTACAGGCTTGTGAATAGGCTCATCACTAATATTATTAAGGCCCGTTTCAATTTCTCATATGATATAGTATTATAACTTGGTCAATGCAAATTTATATGCATGCACTTCAGCTTATGATGCTTACCGTGTAACACTCTCTATCTGTGTCTGATTCAGCTACATGAAGAGCCCATGTTCGAACCCACTCAAGTCCTTTAGAAATTTCAGGATTTCCTTCAACCAAAGTAGATGCTATATAAGAGGGGTGAAGGGCCACCAATATGCATGAAGCTGCAAAAAGGGCAGATTTTCTGACATATGCTTCTACATGATGGCATATCTCCCTGCATGATAAACAGGAGGCAAGGCTCAATGACAGAAATGAATCATTTAGGCCAGTGGCAAACCAGCAATGACACAACAACCCAGGGGCAAACCTACTACTATTCAGTGATAAAGAAAAACTACCACTTTAATAACCCAATACATATATTTTCTTGTATAATCCTTATGGGTCAGGTTAAATAGTAAATTCCACGGTGCCAGTGCCACAGGCCATTGACCTGTAAGCACAAGCCCTAGGATCCTGCTAAATGTCAATGTATGGAAGATGTAAGGTACCTGGAGCTTAACATATCCATCAGGGGAAGGGCCAATGCAGATGCCTCTGGATGCATGGCTGCACATTTCATACAAACACCAAGCATATAGATAAGTTTCCCCAGTACAATAAAGTCCCTACCAAGCAAGTCAACACCATGCCTTTTCTTATCAAATCCCTGCATGGCAGGAAGCATAAATGCTGCTGCATATTGAGGAAACTTATTTTGGGACCATTCCACCTGCTTTTCTTGTATATTTGCTGATTGGAGGCTCCATCTGCGTGTCTTTCCTCTTTTGATCTGACCCCGTTTTGAGGGAAGTTCTCTCTCATATGAATTTGACCAATTTAATAGAGTTCCTGTTCGTGGGATCTCTTTCCACAAACCAGCTCCAGGAGGCCCTACACTACTAGGCATGAACCACGGTTGAGTCTCTGAAGTGGTTGATATGAGGGCTCTTGGCTGACGTTTTTCTTTCACGGTTCTAGCATAAGCAAGCTCCTGCGCTGCATCTGTCATGACGTCAAGTATCATTATCCGTTGGCTCACATCTACATTAGGTGAATATAATAATTTGTTCAAACTATCAAGAGATTCGAATGGAGATGTGACAATCAATGCCACAAGCGCCCTCTGCCTCTTTTCTTCAGCTGATTCTTCTTCTCCCTCAATAGTCGAATCAGAGCAACGAACCTGTACAAGTGTTCTGACCAGATCACCTGTTAAATACTTCAGTTCATCAGGCGACGCACGCACAAGGTTTTCAGCAACATCAAGAGCCCTTTCGACCTGCAAAATAAGATGTGCAATTAAACTTTCTAGAAGAGATATTGTTTCAGCAATTTCTCAAATAACAGCCCCATGGGAATCTAATTTGGAATTTGACAAGGACGGCTTGCTGAAGACCGGTGGATTAATGGTTACACAATTTCATGGAGAAATTGGCAGCCATACCAACTGCACTAGGAAATGAAACCAGCTATTTCACTTAATTTTAATAACTAGACAGTTAATAGATTGAATGGACGAGATTTGTAGTCATCTTGTGTAAATCTTTACCGAGGGAGAATACCAAAAAAGCTCCAAAATTTTAAATTTCAAAGGTATCATGATATGGTTAGAAACTAATTTTCATAGAAACATAAAAAGAGAGTTAACACCAATTGATGAGATTTTAGATCACATTATGTAAATTTTTACCAAGGGAGACCCCAAAAAATGCTCCAAATTTGTAAATTTCACAGACATCATGACAAGGTTAGAAATTAACTTTCAGAGAGACATAAGAAGAGAGAAAAAGACTCGAATGACTTACACCATCTGCGTCATCAGATTTTCTTAGTGCTCCCACCACATCAACCAACTGTGAGAATTTTTTTTTCAAATCTGTATCATCATCTGTTAAATCATATGGCTGTAATGATGCATCACTTGAGGTTTCAGAAATTTCACTTGCATCATCATCCTCATTATCTTCACCAGAAACGGCCTCATGATTCAGTGTAGCTGGATCAATAATCTCATCAGGATCAACCAACTTAAATGCTGATAATCTCTTCTTTTTACCTTTCACATTATTGGCCATCTCATTGTGGGTACTTTCATTTTCCGGCAACATGGAAGTACATGCTTTTACTTTATTATTATTCTCTTCACTGCTGTTTGTGGTACCCAGAGTACCCTTCTCCGTGGTTGCTAAGCCAAATTCCCAGTCAATGGTCTCCCCAGTACAGCTATCATCAAGAAACAGCGGAATTTTTGGGTCAATCACTTTGGAAAAGACTAAAGCAATACTGCTGGCCATTCTTCGAACCAAATGGGCAGGGCTCTCCAGCCTACCTGCCAGCAATTAGAAAAAGTGTAAGTAACACCAGCCAACTATACTGCAAGATAATCAACCAATAGCGAGTAACAAAATTTACAACTGACTCCTCGAAGAATTGAGTGCATCACATCCTTAGTTGCATCTAAATCTTCTTTTGACATCTTCTCCAGGGAGAGTCCTACCGCTGCAGTTATATCTAAATCTTGAATTAAGGGGCTATGGAACAAGAATAAAACAAATTGGAACTAACAGATGAAGCGAAATATAGAAAATTTTACTTTTTCTTTCCTTCTCTTTTTTTTGTCCAACGGTATAGGCAGGTAGAAAGAAGTCCAACTAGTTAATTGTAAAGATACAAGGACCACAGGTTTTGTCCTTTCCCCTAACCATGGAAGTTCTCTCAAGACTGTTGGAGATATTTAATTCAAAAGGTAAAGTATAAGAAAGGATACAAGCCTGCTGCTCCATTGAGGCTGATTGCACAAACTCTAGTTTAGACCATGCTGCTACAAGACGCTGCACTGCGTCTACAAGACTACGAGTATTGTGACATTTTCTCTGCGAAGTAGCATCAGGGGGGCATTCAAGAACAGCAAATTGAAGGATCCATCTCAGGCAACAGAGAGGAAATACTTTCCAGAGTAAAAACTTTTCAACCAACATGGCCCTGAAAAAGTGAAATATCAAAAATCAATATCTAGTAATGTAGGAGTCAACATAAGAATATATTTTTGAGAATGGTAAACAACAGGACCAGCTTTTCTCTATGAATAATTTAAAAACAAGGATTTGTGATTAGAAATTCTATATAACGAACTTCATTGCGGCCTGGCGGGCCTTGGCACATCGGTAAGGTTGCTCTATTGTGACCTAGAGGTCACGGGTTCGAAACAAAGAAACAAACTCTCCGCATGCGGAGGTAACGCTACGTACATCTAACCTTCCCCGGACCCCGCAGTGGCGGGGGCCTCATACAATGGGCTAGTCCTTTTATTTGACAAACTACATTGGGCACCTGGCCACTTCTTATGATCAGGTCCAAGGAAGCCTGGGCCCATGCACATGTAAAGATTGACAAACTTGTTTTATTGCTTTATACTCTCTACTCTTGCTTGGATTTTGGTACTAAGCAGTTCACAAAAAACAAGGATATATAATTACAAATTCTATTTAACCATTTAACTGCTTGTGCACGTGTGTGATGATCAGTTCCAATGAAGCCTGGGCCCACACACATGCACCTATTGACGACCTTATTTGTTATCTAATTCTCTTTGCAGTTACCCTGGCTTGCAATTTGAATATTAAACATAAAATAAAATAAAATATTGCTTCACAGAAATTTACGCTTCATTTGTAATTGTAAAATAACCAATCAATTGTTACTCAAATGAATTGTCCCCAATGTGAATGCACCTGGAGAGAGAGAGAGAGAGAGATGTCCTCGCAGTATCCTCCGACTCCCATAAAAAAATGAATAGAAATGCTTCACTCACCTGACTGATATTTGGGACTCGTACAACCGATGAAACAATATCCATAATATCCAATAAGCTTCAACATCACTTGCATGTTGAGCTGCCAATTTATGCAAAAGTTGTTCGGAGATTCTTTCTACAGCATAGGGGTCTTTAATTGCCTCTATCATCTTCAACCAGAACCGGGAACCAGACTTTGACTCGAAAAATTCGCCAACAGACACATCATTATTTGATGACAAAACGCTCCGGACATGATTAAGAATTTGTGGAATCACTTCACTCAAGAGCACATCTGTTAACAGTAAAAGTTGATACTTCATTTAAAATTTATTTCGACTAGCATGACAAGGTAACAAATGATTTTGTTGGGGAACTTAAGTCACAAGGTAATAACAATCACAATAGAAGATTAGTTTCTTGGGCTTAGTTCCATCAGGCCAATACAACAATGTGATGGTGCCATGGTAGTTGTGAGTTATGAGTAACTACTAAGAATACAAGTCAGTCCAAGAATAATTCTTATAGAGTGCGCTCCAAGGGAAGCAACCCAATATGGTTAAGACCTCCATAGACACCACAGAAATAGCATATACACGCAATCTTTTGAAGAGAATTTTGGAGGTTACTAGGATAGTTTATAGCTATACTTACAACATGAAGTGCAGATGGAAATGTCTCTCACTTTCAATTGTAGTGATTGTAATATTTAATATTACCTGCAGACCCTCGCCGACAAATGCGAGCAAATGATTCTCCAACGAATAGGATGGTACCGTCCATATCATTTTCATTGAAGATGTCTGCTCTATCACCTAGACTCATATCCCATTCTTCTGCTCCAGCAAGAAGTTGCACAGTAATCTGCTTGAAGAACAAACTGAAATTCTATGGTATAGAATTAACAATAACTCAGAAAGGATATTAAGAAGAAAGAATGAGGATAAACAAATTATCATATAGATCTATTGAGTAGACAGGTCTTTAGCTGGTGCCCTTAGCTAGTGCCCTGCCCATTGTTCATGAGCATCCTCTACCGCCTATTGTTCATGTCCAGGTAAAAGTTTTACAACCCCCACCCAACCCCAACAAACCCACACCCCCCCCCCCCCCCCCCCCCCCCCCTTCCTTTTTTCCCATATTAATATTAATAGAAAATATATGATTTTTTGTTGGTAGAAAGTATAAAATCGAAACATGTTAAAGTGTAAACTCCTAAATATCACACAAACAAACACATGCAGCCATGCAACAAAGCCAAACATTCTTCCACACAATAAAAAGAAAATGAGGATACTGTGGTGAAAGTGAATCTAGGGCTCTCAATCGTGCTTTGTCAGGAACGGACGTAACAAGCTGTGCCATCCTAGAGACAGCTTGCTTGAGCTGTTCATTGTTAAGATCTTGAGATTGACAAGCACCACCGAATTCTCTAGCCATCTGGAGTACCCCATTATTTTCAATCAAGTGAAGTACAAGTAATCTGTCATTAACATAGAAAGAAAAATGTAAATGATATAATATTAGTTAACAATGACATCCCTCACACTTACATACTACACACAAAATAAAACAGTGGTCATATTATATTATTGAAGGATATCTCGGGAATGTTGTCAGTCATGTAAGGCATGATGCAATGGGCATCTGTTTAACAATGCAGTAGTTCAGACTTCATATCATATCAAATGAAGCAAAAGCATGTCCTCATTAGTCAAAACCCTGATAAGAATATGAGACTATAGCAACCTAGTGTGCCTTGAGCTTTTAATAACTATGATCTACTACAAGGGGTACCCTTATTAATAATGTTGAACTCATTTAATAATGCCGTAATATGCATTAATCAGATGTTATGCAAGATGAACTAAACAACCCATTCATAAGAGAAAATGGACTAAGGAGAAGAAGAATACAAGTTCCAGAAATAATGGAACTACTGGGTTTTTGCCACTACCTCTCAGCATTTGAGCAAACAGCATTAGTATCCAGACTAACACTTCCATTCTGTTGCAGAAAAGGAACTACAGTCTGAACAACCTCAGTGGCATGCCCATTCACAAAGAACACGTCATATACATGTTTCTTTGCGGAAAAGGGGAAACAAGTTAGCCAATTGGAAGCAACATCTGCAGGTAACAGCAATTAACATTAGCAACTAATGACTGATATATATTTTTTTCTTATTACAAGTCCAACTTTGTTCGTATTGCTGACCTTACAGCCAGACTTCAGCAATAGAGAACTCTTCCAAACTTCTAAGCATTCATTTCATTTACTTAATTAAAAATTACCAAATTTTCTATTTTATTCTCATTTAAGAAAATGAATTTTTTATTTTTTTGCTTTTTCCTGCTGTTTATAGCCCCAATCAACAAAAATATTACTCCAGCATCCAAAAATCAAAATGGTTACTTTGGGATCCATTCCGAAATAACTTCATATTTCTATTTTTCAAAGTACAATAATCAAACACTAAAAAAAGCACTTAAAATTCAAGTAATAAGCAACTTACCCTGTAACAAAACCCTAGACAATGCAGGAAATGCAGCTCCACGGTAGAAAACCTGACGCCAATAACTCCTCTCCTCTTCGGAAGGGACTTTGGCACTAAGAACCTAAACAAATCGAAATAAAAAATTACTTCATCAAACATAAATGAATTTTCTTTTTTATTTACTCTATATGAGTAATACATAAATTTCAGAACACAGTGCAAAAAAAACATGACTTTCAATCTCCAGTTACAAGAACACCCAATTAAATACACACCTGGTCTCTATATTGCCGATCGATGCTACCTAATTCCAATCAAATAAAATAAATAAATAAATAAAGTACCCATTAGTTGACAAATAAATCAAATACAACGCAAAATTGGAAAAGCAAAAGCTACTTCAACAATTGCATAACGAACTCAACCTAATTCGCCTGACATAAATTAATTACAGAAACTGGAACTTTTAACTTCCATTTTCTTGGTGATTTTCTCGGGAACCAAACAAGGGAGGGTTTTGGGGGAGGGAGTGACCTGAGAGAGAGTGGGAATCCAGAGGGAAGAGAAGAAGAGCGAGAGAGTGGAGGGCGACGATGACTTGGTCGACGTGTTTGACGTCGTTGATGGAGGCGATGACGTCACCCACCTTCTCGAGGATTGTTGTCTCCACTTCTCTGCTTCTCTTCGTCTCGTCGTCGTCTTCCATGGCCATTGCTGTTGAAGATTGCTTGGAGAAACAATTGGAATTGCAGATTATTGAATCAAATGTCGCCTAACGGTGTCGTGTGGGAAAGTTGGCAAAACATTAACTTGGTTCTTTACATAAGGATAAATTATTAAGTAAAATATTAAAAAAGAACACGTTGAATGATAAAAATATTAAGTAAAGCATATTTGAATTGAAATTAAAAGAATTTTTTTTTTATTTTATGTTAGGTATGTAAATTTTTTTATAGTAAAGTCGAACAAAAATATTTACTTAAAAATATTAATTTTTAGTAAGTTATTTTACACCGCTCACCTGATAGAATTCGATTTCAATCTCGATTTATACATACATCAAATAGACAAATATCAAAAAATATAAATAAAAATAAAAACTATATTTTACTTTAAAATATATATATTTTTAAAAATATATATATAACAAACAAAGATTAAGTAAAAATAAATAATTTAACCTAGAGGGAATGAATTTAGATAATGGTATGATAAAAATTAAAATATCAACCAAACAAAAACGACAAGACTTAAATAATGATTGTAATATTTTCATCTAATGCATTTAATTATCCTTCAAGTAATGATCATGTTTCAACAAAATGTTGCCTTTTGTTCTTCTAAGTTTTGCAAAATATATTTCTGTTTTGCAGGAAAAAATAAGTTCTAAGTGAAAAAGGAGAAGAGTATAACCTCCTATAATACTCTTAGGATAGAGAAATGGACTGAAAAAGATTTTTATACTTCTTTCACTTATAGTCATTTGTTGTAAATAGAGATTTAAATTGTAAAAGAGAAATCAATGGCATTGATTGGAAGAGATAAATTGTTTTCGTTCTTTTGGAGGGAGAAGCAAAATAGAGTTTGAGAAGAAGAAAAATCTGAAATAGTAAGGTTTGGAACCATTAAGATTAAAAGTTTATTTATTTATTTTTTTAACAATTTTAAGAGGAATGTGCTTATAAATTATAAACACAAACAAAAATAAATAAATAAATAGAAAAGGAAAATGGAAGAAATAAAAATATAAAAAATAAATAAATAGTGAAAAATGAGTGGGATTGAACCTTAATTGGCTCAGTCAATGGTCTTGAAAGTAATGAGATAACTTCTTAAATGATGTCTAATTACATGTTAAAGAAATTAATTCACACACCCACTTTATTATAAAAGAAACTCGGGCTCTTGAAGGAAGCGAGTAGGTCTGCCTTTCAGGGTGCTGAACCTCTTGATCTAGCTTGAAACTTTGATTCCTACATCTTACTTGAATCAAGAAAGACCTACATTAGCAAGTCCGATTTAGGATAATATTAAGCTCCACACCGGTCAAGATGTATACTATTCTTACCGTTAATGTGGACCAATAATAAATCCTTACTCGTGAAGATTTAAGTATTATTTTGGGCATTATAGCTGTATTTTTTTTTATTTTAAATAAAATATTTTGTACAACTTTTTGTTTTTAGTTGGGTATTCTAGCTGTATTTAAAAAAAAATAAAAAAATGTTTATAAAGTACCAAAACGTTTTGTAAAGTACCGAAACTTTTGGTGACCAAAAATCGAAATAAAAAATGTTCTGTAAAGTGCCGAAACTTTTCGTGACCAAAAATCAAAACACTACACCTAGAAGTTTTCTGTTTCGGCTAAAGAAAAAACAAAACCCCTAGAATCATTACTATTCAAAATGCTTCCAAAATAAATTAAAATCATTTCAATAATTTTAAATGTTTATTTATAATTATTTTATTTAAAATTGAGCATTTTCATTTACATATAAATGTAATAATTAAAATTATAATGCTGAAAAGCACCTCAAAGTAACTAAAATAAAATTTAAACTTAAAATTGTTGGAGGCCTTCACACAGGTGAAGATACCTCCAAAAATTGGCGTATGCCGCTTTTTGCGGCGCGCACACGGTATTCTTTAGTAAAAGGCGATCTGCATTAGGGGGATTGGGCTGGTTGAAAATTCACTGAAATGGGAAGTACAGAACTGGTAATGTGCCTATGATGAAGAAGAGGAGAGAGAAGAGAGACAGAGAAGTGAGAATATGTGAGAGTTTCTGTTGAAGACAAAAGCTTCCATCTCTCCGATGATGCTGTTGTATACAGTGTTGGGTTTGGGCCGTGCGGGTTGGCAATTGTTAAAAGCCCAATGTTCTGTTTGGTTGCTGAGAAAGTACACGAGAAGAAAATAAAATAAACTAAATACTTAATATTCAACTTACAGCACTTCCGGTGGCCAAAAGCTTAAGATATTGGGTATTATAGTATATTTATCAATTTATACACATTTCAATTTCAATTCGAATTTGATGTTGTTGGACACCTCTAATCTGTTACATATCCACCCATTTATACTCATTTCACTTCTCATTTATACTCATTTCACTTCTCATTCAATTTGGACACCTCTAACATGCTCTTCAATCCGAACTTGCAATAGTATTGTTGTGATCAGACCACCCTATCTATCCGGGGTGGCAACTCGAAAACTTTCGGACAAAGCGCTTGACATGAGACCAGATCAAGAACTGGGTTTGCTTCTGATATCAATTATAATAGGTGGACGTTTGTCCACTAATCCGTATTCATTACCTATTCATTTAGTAGTTAGCATTATTAAAAAATTCATTTACATCACCACCTTATCCAAATTAAAATAGTTTATCAGGTAAAAGAAAAAAAAATCAACTCAAAATGTCTTGAAATAAAATTTGTGGGTTTAATTTGGCCGAATTAAGTGAAAAAAATAATGTAAAAGTTTGTCATGATTTGTACAATCTATTGTAATGTATTTTGACAGAAACTTTTTGTTTACAATGTTACACATGCATTTTGATATTTATGCATAATGAGAGAGAGAAACATAGAACTCAATTAAACTTACCTATTTTTAGGGTTTACAGTAGAAAGTAAAAATTACTTCATGCAAGTGAAGAGACTTTCCTTAGATAGTGAAGATGCAAGAAATTCGTTCCCCTCTTTCTCTCTCTAGAATTCTTACACCTCAACCCAAAAGATCCCCCTCCTTTCCATTCCTTATCCTATTTATAGATATTTACAAGATATTTACAAGATATTTACTGATTGCTGGATCTGGGCCTATTCCTCCATAAGTCCTGGTCACCTTTGATGGGCTTACTCGCGTTCGGCCCATATGGCAGTGTCTTTATATGGGCCGACCCAGCTGTACGAACTGAATGTAGTGTTTGCGAGTCGGATCCGGCCCATGTCGTCCGGGGCCTCCTCAACTGCCCCCATAATTGCCCCTTATTTAATAAGGGGTAATTATTGATGGCGTCTCATCATGATGTTGACGGCTCGAGATAACCACGTGGGGGAGCGGACGGTCAGATCCAGAATCAATGTTCCGGGGCTCGAGGAATTTCTCTCCTTCCCGACGCTTCGGCCCTCGGGCCCCCTCGCCTTTATAATGCTCTAGAATTCCACTTCACTTCCCTTTACCGTCTCCATCATCAGTCAAGTCTCTCTCTTTCTAGAACAGTGCTAAGCTTTTTCTGGTGAAATCCTTCAAGAGTCATTCTTCCAGCGATCTTGCAGTCCTTCGAGGTTAGTTTCGTTCTTTTTTACTTTCGGCAGGCTTCCATTTACCCCCTTTTAGATTCTTCTAGCACTTCCACCATGGTTGTAGATCTGGATGTTCTTCGTATGAGACTTAGACTTCCTAACAACATCGAAGTTAGGGTTTGCCCCCAGGACGTTAACATTATGACCGGCCCCGGCCTCCTGCCCGGCGAAGTCTTATTCACGAACCTTCAATTGAATGTTGTTAGGTTCCCTCTGCACCCTTTCTTTAGTTATGTCTTCAATAGATTGGGGATATCCCCTCTGCAGGTCAACCCCAACTTCTTTAGAATCATATCTGTTATACTCTTGTTGATGCGTGACAGAAATCTGGACCTCGACCTCATAGACCTCCTTCTGTGCTATAAGGTCAGTAAGATCCGTACTAACGAACCCTTCTACCACCTCTACCCGTTCGAGAAGATGTCCGTTCGAGAAGATGTCCATATGTACGGACACAATAAAATCTGAGAAGGGTTGGAGGGATAGCATCGTGGGCATTAGTGGGGCTTGGTCTTCGCCGGCTGCAGAGGATTACCCAATCCCGAGCGCCTTTGGTGTCTGTTCTGTCTCCTCCTATAAGAAATTCAAATCTCATAAACATGACTGCCCCTGCGAAACATGCGTTCCTCGTTTTTGCACTTTCTTATGCCGTTACTTGGGAATACCTTGTGATGACTTGAGCTATAGTGTTTGCAGGGATAGGAATAACTACTTGAAGAAATACGTTCTGAACGATATTCCTTCCTGCTCAGATCTCCTCACTTCAGACAACCTCTTAGCACTCTCATCACTCGGCTATAACATGAGCAGACTTCAGATTCCTTCTTTTGACAGGAAGAAAAATACTCCCCCAGCCACTCCTGCTGCTGGGGCGACCTCCTCTCCAGCGTCAGCTTCTTCCTCAGCCACCATATCTGACACTGTCCCGAGCGCAGTGGCTATTAACCCTGTTGCCAGCACCCCTGCTGCCAACCAGAACGCGTCCCCCCCAGCTACCATAGCTCCTGCTGCTGCGGGGGGCGGTCGGGACAAAGAACGAGGCAAAAGGCCTCATCCTGACAGTGAAGTCGATCCTGAGGAGGAGCCTCTCATTAGAAGGACCCGGGTCTCCGGGCCGGGTGCTCTCTTGCACCGAGCGATCAGAGCTCCTGCTCCCTCTGGGCCTGCTGCAGCTGGTGGCTCTGCTTCTGCTTCAGGCCCCCCTTCTATCCCCACCTTACCGCCATGGGCCCCTCGGTACACCCGAACGGATGGGACGTTCGTGAAACCGAACGAGACCATGCTGAAGGATGGCCAGACCGCTATGGCCTACTACAGGAGCATGTGGACTCCGAAGGACCTTGAGGCGGCAAAGGGCCTTTCCCAGAAGGATGTGTTCAGCCGCTTTCCCCAATCTGCTATGGAGGTGACTTTTATTTTCTAACTCATGAATTCTCTCATATTATTTGGTCTTGCCTTCGCCCGACCTGACTATTGGCTTAACCGTTTTTAATGTGCACCTATGCAGACATTGTTCGGAATGATGGCCATGCAGAAGCAGGTGGAGATGGGGAACGCCAGGGCCCGTAAGTTTTCTGACAGCCTGGAGGTGGCTAATAAAGAAAACGACCTCCTCGCCATGAAGAATACCGAGGTACTGGCTCGGCTTGACAAAACCGAGCAAGAGAGAGATGTCCTGAAGAAGGAGAATGATTCCCTTCAGGATGAGAAGGACGCCCTCCAGCTTGAGAAGAGCGTCTGGCAAACTGAGCGGGAATCAATTAGAGAAGAAAAGGCAGAACTCCAGCGCCTTCTAGCTGATGAACAGTCTGCTCGGATGGCTTTTGAAAAAAGAGCTCTGGACGAGCGTACCGCTCTGATCGACGCGATCAGCAGAGTGGGTGGTGGGATGCTGGCCCTTCACGCTCGGTTCTCAAGGGTCGGTGCTCTTAGGTATGCTCAAGGATTCCGGGAAGGTTTCGCCGACCGGGTTCCGGATGAGGGACAGACCAGCTCCACTCCGGATGAGGTAGACAAGGATCTGGGGATCGAACCTCTGGGTGTCTATGTCGACCCAGAACCCACCGAAGCGGAGCGCATATTCGATGAGTGCCAGGACATTGCTTCCTCAAGGATCATCACAGCTCTTCCTACCGCTCTGCCACTGACCGCTCCTCAATCGTCAACCGTGGTTCCTTCCATAGCCACTGCTGACGCTGAACCCCAGCCGAACGATTCAGTCATTCACCTTGATTCCCCACCTCATGAAGGTGAGACGGCTGATGGGGCCGAGGAGGTGAGTCGGCACGACCAGGATGCTGTTGGTACTGAAGCGTCTAGCTAGGGCTCCTTTGAATTCTTCCATTCCATATCTTTTTGTAATGATGGACATCTCTCTTTTGTAAACTCAATGCTCAATATTAATGAAACGACAGAACTCTTTTTCCCTATGTGTTGTGCTTTATTCAACTTATCTTCAATACATACATATCTTTTCTCTCTTTTTCTTTTATATTAGCTTTGCCGTGTGTTTGTTTATGGCAAGTGCCTGGCGCTCGGCTAGAATGCCACTTGCCACTTGGCTTTAAATTTTTAGCAAGTGTCTGGCGTTCGGCTCATGGTGCCAGCTGCCACTTATCTTGCTTAAGTGCCTGGCGCTCGGCTAGAATGCCACTTGCCACTTGGCTTTAAGTTTTTAGCAAGTGTCTGGCGTTCGGCTTATAGTGCCAGCTGCCACTTATCTTGCTTAAGTGCCTGGCGCTCGGCTAGAATGCCACTTGCCACTTGGCTTTAAGTTTTTAGCAAGTGTCTGGCGTTCGGCTTATAGTGCCAGCTGCCACTTATCTTGCTTAAGTGCCTGGCGCTCGGCTAGAATGCCACTTGCCACTTGGCTTTAAGTTTTTAGCAAGTGTCTGGCGTTCGGCTTATAGTGTCAGCTGCCACTTATCTTGCTTAAGTGTCTGGCGCTCGGCTAGAATGCCACTTGCCACTTGGCTTTAAGTTTTTAGCAAGTGTCTGGCGTTCGGCTTATAGTGCCAGCTGCCACTTATCTTGCTTAAGTGCCTGGCGCTCGGCTAGAATGCCACTTGCCACTTGGCTTTAAGTTTTTATAGTAGACCGTTGGAAAAGAAAGTTCTTTTTTGTAAATTTCAGTAACTTGCTCATTCATACGTATTTGATTGACAACAAACAACATCCAATTAAAGCCGGAACTTAGCTTTTATTGGTAGTACCTCTTCAGAGACGTGGCGTTCCAGGGCTTGCTGACCAACCTTCCCGCCATGGTTTCCAACGTATATGCCCCCTTGCCAATGACTTCTGCAATTCTGTATGGGCCTTCCCAGGGTGGCATCATTTTTTTTGACCATCCCCACCTTTCTTTTCAGAACCAGATCGCCAGGGGCAAAATCCCTGTGTTTTACTCTCTTGTTATGACTATTCGCCAGCACTTGCTGATACGATGCTAGCCTTATAGCCGCTGCGTCCCTCCTTTTGTCTATCATATCGAGGTTCAATCTTAACATCTTGTCGTTCTGATCTCGACTCCATGCTAAGCTTCTGATAGTGGGGACTAAATGCTCAACCGGTATAACTGCCTCAGTACCATACGCCATTGTGAACGGGCTCTCCCCAGTCGGCCGCCTTGGGGTGGTTCTGTAAGCCCATAGAACGTTCGGGAGTTCATCCAACCATTTCCCCTTATGATCTTCCAGCTTCTTCTTAATGCAGGCGAAAATGGTTCTGTTTGTGATTTCTGCTTGTCCGTTGGCCTGAGGATGACTTACTGCAGCCAACTTCTGGTTGATTCCATACTCCTCCAGCAGCTTTCTTACTTGTCTGCTATCGAGGTTTGTGCCATTGTCCATGACTATTGATCTGGGAACACCGAAACGGCAGATAATATTGTTCCAAATAAATCGTCTCACATGAGTCTGAGTCACGCTAGGATATGGTTCTGCTTCCACCCATTTAGTGAAGTAATCCGTGGCTAGTAACACATACTTGTTCTGAGCTCTTGCAGTTGGCAGAGGACCGACCACATCCATCCCCCATTGCGCGAAAGGCCATGGCGAGGCCATTACGTGCAATTCCTCAGGTGGTTGGTGGATCAATGGTCCATATCGTTGGCATTTATCGCACCTTCGAGAGAACTCCTCCGCATCTCTTGACATGTTTGGCCAGAAATACCCTTGTGTCATTGCTTTATGCGCTAACGATCGCCCCCCAGAATGATTGCCACACACACCCTCATGAATAGCTCGCAATACCTGCTGCGACTCCGCGGGGGTGACACATTTCAAGTATGGGCCAGAGTAGGACCTTCTGTACAGCTGGTTCCGCACGATGGCGTACTTTGCAGCATTCTTTTTGAGTCTCATAGCTTCATCCCTTTGCATAGGCAAAACGCCATCTCGAATATAGGTAATGATGGGGTCAATCCAACTCGGTTCATACGGTATGACGTTGACTTGCCAAGGGTCAGAGTCCAACGGTTCTTCGAAAATAGATGGCTGGGTCACTATTCCTACTGGAATCACCCTCGCCAATGATTCACCGCAACTCGAAGCACTGCATGCTAAACGGTCTGCATCTGCATTCTGTTCCCTCGGCAGCTGTATGAATTCAATCTTTGCAAAGTCCTTGGCTTTATGCAGAACGGCAGAACGATATGCCCCCATCGTGTCATCCTTGGTCGCGTACTCACCATTTACCTGCCGAACAATCAGCTGCGAATCACTATACACTGTCAAACTTTTGATCTGTAGCTCTCTGGCCAACTTTAATCCATTTAGCAACGCCTCGTATTCCGCTTCATTATTGGTGGCTCGGAACTCAAGTCTGAGTGCTTGGCTCAAGGAAGTACCCTCTGGGGTTTGCAGTTTGATCCCAATCCCAGCCCCCATCTGGTTAGAGGAGCCATCCACAAAAAGTTTCCAAGAGCCGCATCTAAGGTCTTCTTTCGTATCTTCGGCGTCACATTCTAGTAGGAAATCGGCTACCGCTTGCCCCTTAACAGCTGTTCTCGGCTCATACGTTATGTCAAATGAACTCAACTCTATGGCCCACTTTGTCATTCTGCCCGAGAGCTCTGGCTTGTGCATAAGCGTTCTGATTGGGAAAGTTGTTAGAACAGCTATGGGGTGGGATTCGAAATAATGCCTCAACTTTCTTTTTGCATTTACAAGTGCAAGTACCACCCGTTCGGCCTTTGAGTATCTTTTTTCTGCCTCCGTCAGTGTTTTGCTTACATAAAATACCGGGTATTGCACCCCTTCCTTGCAACGAATCAGAACGGCACTCGTCGCGACACCAGATACTCCAAGATATAGAAATAACTTTTCTTCCGGATCTGGGGCTGACAGGACTGGTGGATTCTGCATATATTCCTTCAAATGAGTCAATGCTTGTCGTTGCTCATCCCCCCAGACCTGCCTTCCATGGCTCCGAATCGTGTCAAAGAATGGTTTGCAGTGATCTGACAATTTTGAAATAAATCGACTTAATGCAGCTATTCGTCCTGTGAGGGCTTGCACCTCTCTGATCGTCTTTGGCTCGGCATTCTTAATCAAAGCCTCTGCTTGAGCGGGGCTAACTTCGATGCCTCTGCGATTGACCACGTGTCCCAGAAACTGTCCGGAACTCACACCGAACGAGCACTTGGTTGGATTGAGCCTCATCCCATATCGCTTTAGTACATCAAATACATCTTGCAGATGCTTCAGATGATCATCCTTCTTCCTACTCTTTACCACCATATCATCAATATAGGCTTCCACAATCTTACCCATTTGATTCTTAAAAACTTTGCTAACAAGTCTTTGATAAGTTGCTCCCGCATTCTTTAGTCCGAAAGGCATAACTTTGTAGCAGTATGTTCCTCGCTCGGTGACAAAAGAAGTTTTTTCTTCATCTGCGGGGTCCATAGGAATCTGATTATAACCTGAATAAGCGTCCAGAAAGGTTAAACGCTCATACCCAGTGGTGGCATCCACCATTTGATCAATCTTAGGCAACGGGAAGCTGTCCTTCGGACAGTCTTTGTTCAAATTGGTGAAATCAATGCATACTCGCCATTTCCCATTCTTCTTCTGCACAACAACGACGTTAGACAACCACTCAGGGTAGTGCACCTCTCTGATAAATCCCGCATCAAGCAGCCTATCGACTTCTTCCGCTATGATCTGATTACGTTCTGGAGCAAATCTTCGCTGCTTCTGTTTCACTGGTTTGAAATTGGGATTGACATTCAGGGAATGACAGGATACGGAGGGACTAATTCCAGGCATGTCTAGGTGACTCCATGCAAATACGTCGGCATTGTGGGACAAGAAATCCACTAGCTCTTGCTGCTCTTCTCTGGTCAGTCTTATACCTACTCTGGTAGTTCGTTCTGGCCTGGACTGATCGATCTGCACATCCAGAAGGGGCTCCTCGGTCAAGTCGACTGACTCCTCCACCCTATTCCGCTCGAGCGGAGGTTCCTGTAATTGCTATCTGGGGCTTGCCGAACGGACGGGCGCCTTTCCTTTCCCAGCATGCTTTAGTGTGATGGAATAACACTCTTTGGCTGCGACCTGATCCCCCCGAATGTCTATCACTTTATCTCCATCGGGTCCGAGGCACCTCATGACCTGATGCAGAGTTGAGGGTACACCTCAGACTCTGTGAATCCATCCTCTTCCCATCAGGAGATTATACGAGGGGTGAATTTCCACAACCACAAAAGTTTCCATAAGAGCTCGTTCTGCAGCTTGAACTTCCACTTCCACCATCCCGACGGGCCCCACCCTCTTCCCATCGAACCTAAACAAGGGATTTCCAGTGGGCTTGAGCCTCTCTGGTTTAATCTCGAGCCTGTCAAATGTGTCCCTCGGCATGACATTCGCACTGCTCCCAGGATCGATCAGAACTCTGCGCACCAAGCAATCTGCCACTGTCAAACTGACTACCAACGGGTCGTCATGAGGCAGTTGAACACGCTGCAGGTCTGTCCAGTCGAACTTTATCTGCATCGACGGGCTCTACTGGTGTAGAGTATTCACACTGCCGACCCTTTTCTTCATCTGCGCCTGCCGCAGGCGTACCCGGAGCAGCTCATCTGACTCTTCACTAGGCTCGGGTCGACCATGGATAGCATTGATTATACGAACTGGTTGTGAATTGTGGGAGCTTTGTTTATGACTCCTTTTTATTTGTTCCACCGGTCGATTCTGCTCCATCGCCGAACCTTGAACATAACTCGCGAACTCCCCTCTAGCTATCAACATCTCCACTTGCCTCCTCAGGTTCCTGCATTCGTTAGTCTGATGACCGAAATCAGAATGAAAAGCACAATGTTTAGTTTGATCCCTCTGTTCGAGGGGTTGCCTAATTGGCAGTGGTGGATGAAACTTATCTTTGTTCTCCTGATACAGCCTCGCCAGAGTGACCTTCAGCGGAGTAATCAGCTCTTCCTCCCTGGACCTTTTTCCTGCCTTCCAAGAGGTCTGACGTTGCGGCTGAGCCTGCTTCTGCCTGATCTTTGCCTTGGACTTTTCCTCGGTCGACACAAGCGACGTTGTCCGAGCATTAGCTGCCTCCTCTTCTTCTAGGCGCACAAAGCCATCGGCTCTTTCATTGAGTTCATCCATAGTAGTCGGCGTGTTCACTACCAGACTGGTGTGAAACGGAGTTCCGCGTGTCATGGCTAACTTGAAGGCTTGAACTGCCGTAGAAGGGTGGCATTCGATCACCATACTCTTAGTGAGATTAAACCTGGTAAGAAAGGCCTGGAGACGTTCATCCTTGTGCTGCCTCATCGTGAATAGGCTCGAGATGTCCTTCGGCGGGCGTTTGTTCCCATAGTACTGGCTTATGAACCGATCGCACAGGTTTCTGAAACTACCAATGGAGCTCCTAGGCAAGTTTTTGAACCAGCTGAGCGCCGGTCCGGCTAGGCTTGTAGGGAAACATTTGCACATTAAAGAGTCGTTTTCCGTATTCAGGGCCATTTTCAACTGGATATGATACACATGATCGATCGGATCGGTCGTTCCGTCGAACAGAATAAAGACTGGCATAGCAAACTTCCTTGGATGCGGGGCATTCAAGATCTCGTCGGTGAATGGTGAATCCACCGTCCGAGCTGCGGATCGGAAATCTTCATTCTCTCTCTGGAGTCCAGCGGTAGCTCTGTGAGTTACGGTTCTGCCCTCCGAACCGTGATGAGTGATAGTAACCATGGATGGCCGGTAAGACGGATCGAACGACCGTTCCTCTATGAACTCTCTTTGCCAAGGCGACGCTACTCGACGGCGATCAACCTCCATCACTTCCTCTCGGTCGAACCTTTCCCGCTGCGGATCAACGTGAGTCGATCCTTCGTGATCTTCAACTCGACGAACATTTGGCGGCAAATTGTCCATCATCCTTTCATCACGGTGGTGAGCTGATTGATTGTTCTCGTCCTGTTCGCCTTGATGCGCGATATTAGATTGAACACCTCCTTCTCCGACCGGAAGTGGATGCGAAACCGCAGGTATTTGCCGATGTTGCATTCCAGCTTTCAATTCTGCATTCTCTTTTTTGAGAGCTTCAATCAAGCTCATCAACTCCTCAAGCTTTGTTTGCTGGACAGCCTCCATCGGATTGGAGCTTTCACCTATCATTATTCCCGAACGGAGTAAAGGCATTAATCTCAAGTTCGCGAGTAGATCCGAGCTTCGTGAGTAGGAATTTTTAGATCTGGCTTCTAATTCTCTGAATTATGCTCACTGTTTACGAGATCTGAATTGTCTGAACTCTAAATCCGTCAGATCCTGCCACAATCGAACAACTCGTTGTTGCGTAGATCTGAAGTCACTCCTGCCAAAGCTTCAAGAATTGTAATTCCTCCAGAGTAGGTCACAATCGCTCAGATCTGGATCCAAATCCCAAAGATCGAGTCTCGATCAACCGAATTGGTTTGAATCCATTCGATATTCCTCATTGATCAACCAAACTTCCATGTGATTCCCACAGACGGCGCCAATTGAAGATGCAAGAAATTCGTTCCCCTCTTTCTCTCTCTAGAATTCTTACACCTCAACCAAAAGATCCCCCTCCTTTCCATTCCTTATCCTATTTATAGATATTTACAAGATATTTACAAGATATTTACTGATTGCTGGATCTGGGCCTATTCCTCCATAAGTCCTGGTCACCTTTGATGGGCTTACTCGCGTTCGGCCCATATGGCAGTGTCTTTATATGGGCCGACCCAGCTGTACGAACTGAATGTAGTGTTTGCGAGTCGGATCCGGCCCATGTCGTCCGGGGCCTCCTCAGATAGACTTTTCTTTCTAGGGTTAATTTCAGCTGTACCCCCTCACCTTTTAACTGTTTTTCATCTACACTCCCTCTAGGTTTCAATATTTTACGTACACCTCCTGACCTTTGACCATACGTAACAAGTTACCTCCTACCATTAAGCAACTAACAATGTGTGCTGATGTTAGCATGAGAAATTTGTTAAAAAGTCAATTTTACCCTTCTAATTTCTAAAAGGACATTGTTGACCAACCAATGTGAGCCTGGAAAGAATCATATTTTGTTTATTTTTGGGTTGAGAAAAATTCTGCAATTCAGTCTAGGTTAGCAGAAAATTGCCATAGAAGAGTGCGGCATCGAGACTGTCATAGAAGATGGTGAGCTTAGTGTTAGGGTTTTTTTTTTATTAGAAGAGAGATATCCCAAGTAGCGGTGACCTCGGATGTTGTGGCGTTGATGGGGGAGACGGTGGCGGAGGCGACCGTGAACTCAGGGAGCGAGGGGCGGAGGACGAGACAGACCATGAAGAAGATGACTCCAATTATGAGGACAACGGTGAGGACAACGGCGATGAAATGGTAGTGGAAAGAGTGGCGACCGTGGGTATGAAATTGGTGGTGGTAAGCAGCAGTATAGAAGGTGGAGGGCGATGGTGCCACTGCGTGGGGGTATCCGAAGGTAAAGCCCATGAAGGTGGTGCCGGAAATTACCCTATTCGTCCCCACCGACGAAGCGTTCTTGGATCTTCCAACGACTGTGAAGTTGCCAAGTTTCAATTTGGAGTTAAACGTGAACCTGATTCAACCGTTGCCAGGGACTGAGGCGATGGGTGCCGGCCAGAAGCTACACTCTGCAAATATCGAAAGAAATCTAGCAGCAGCTCCCGCTGTCGAAACACAAAGCAACTTTTGGCGTTAATCGAGGTCGTCATCATCAGGTAAAGGATCTGTTGGTCAAGCGATCGATAAAGTGTGAAATTGACGGCAAAGCACCCGATCAACATCGCTATCGACAGCGTCATTATAAACAACAGATTATGCCGGCGGTGAGCTATTCGTTTGGATCACTCTGAGTGTTTTGTGGTCATGGCTGACTCGTCCGAGTTGGACTCGGGGGTGAAGCGGATGCGAAGTGACGACTTGAGATGAGAGAGAGCCATGGTCATAGAACTGGTCTGATGATCTCTGCACATTCCGGCTAGGGCTGCAACTTGGGTTGGGTAACCCGAACTAACCAAAGCCCAACTCAATTTTTCACTGGCTTAGACAATTATTTTTACAATTAGGGTTGGGCTTGGGTTGAAAATTTTCAACCCGAATTTAATTAGGGTTGGACTTGGGTTGAAGTGCTAGTAATCCGAACCAACCCAAACCCGAATTACAATATTATTTTCATATATATTTTTACTTTTAAATACATTATTTATAATATTTAAACCATGATTACTTTTTTTCTTTTCAACTTTTTTTATTAAATCTTAACTTATTGTATGTTAACATTTAGGAGAATTAATTTTCTAATAATTTGTTTGTAATTTTTTAAAAATTTATTAAAAGTCTTTAAACTTTTTCTTGTTTAAGAGTAATTTGATCTAAAACTAATTCAAGATCATATTAAATTTTTTGTATAAAGATAAGCCATATGAGTAACCCGAATTAACCAGAAGCTTTAACCCGGAATTTGAGCCCAAATTTGAAAGTAGAAGGATGAGTTAAGCTCGTATTGAGTAATTAAGGTTGAAGAAAGGGTTTGGGTTGGGTTTAGGTTTAACATTTCATATGGTGGGTTGGGCTCAAGTTATACCTCAAACTAGGGGTGCAACTTGGGTTGAACCCAATCCTAGCCCAGCCCGATTTTTCGCGGGCTTGGGCAATCATTTTTACAATTAGGGTTGGGCTTAGGTTGAAAAATCTCAACCCAAATTGAATTAAGGTTGGACTCAGGTTGAAGTGCTAGCAACCCGAGTCAACCCGAACCCGAATTACAATATTATTTTCATATATATTTTTAATTAAAAATATATTATATATAATATTTAAACTATGATTATCTTTTTTCTTTTCAACTTCCTTTATTAAATCTTAACTTATTGTATGTTAACATTTAGAAGACTTAATTTTCAAAGAATTTGTTTGTAATTTATTAAAAATCTACAAAAAGTCTTAGAACTTTTTCTTGTTTAAGAGTAATTTAATCTAAAATTAATTCAAGATCATATTAAATTTTCAGTGTGAAGATTAGTTATATGAGTAACCCGAATTAGCCCAAAGTTTTAACACGAAATCTAAACCCGAGTTGCAGGCCCGAATTTAAAAGTAGAATGATGGGTTGGGCTTGGGTTAAGTAGTTAGGGCTGAGAATAGGGTTTGGGTTGGGCTTGGGTTTAGCATTTTATATGGTGGGTTGGGCTCAAATTATACCTCAAACCCGCCTAATCCGCCCGAGTTGCAGCCCTACCTCAAACTCGCCCAAACCACCCGAGTTGCAACCCTAATTCCAGCACCTCCTTCACCTTCATTATCATCATTGCCAATAGCCACCAGAAACAACGCCTTCACCTTCGCGTATGAAAATTTGCTGATTTTTGGACAACCACACCCCCTTGTTATATTTGACAGCCAAACAGAGCCTAAAAATATGTGAAAAGTCTAATTTGCCCTACATTATTTGATTAATTTTAATAGTAAAATATAAAAAATAATTAAATAACCTAATTGCCTTTCTCCTTTCTCTCTTGATATATACATAAACCCATCTGTGCAAATATATATATATATACTCATAACCATGAAATTGTTCGGCGAAGGATGAGCACGGTGGTAGCGACACAACCGTGAAAGTGTCCGGCGAAGGGTGTCAAGCAAGATGGAGATCAACGTTGAAGGGGCTGTAGTAGCGTGCAAGGCTCTGCTTAGCGATGATGAACCCACCCATGGTGGAGTAGTGGAGGTGATATGTTTGGCGATTATGAACCCACCCACGGTGGAGATGCTTTGCTCGGCGGCGACAGAGGGGGTAGCAACATAGAGGGTGTGAAGAAGACTTGGAATCGCTGAAGAAGGTGACGCGTGCGGGCGTAAAAAGTGCGTTAGATTTATGCGTAATGGCGCGTGAGCGCGAGTTAGATGACGGCGATGAGGTTGGTGGCTCTTTGGCGCAAGTTAGACGACAGCGGTGAGGAACTATGAGGATGTCGCGGTTCTGGCGGTGATGTTGATGACGATGAGGTAGAGATAAGGATGTACGTTTGAGTTAGAAGAGGAGGGACGGCAGATGGTGGTGCTCCAAAACTGCGCAATTAGCGCCGTCTTGTTGAATGATCCAGATCCCGACGGTGACAGGGCCTATACGTGAGGCTGGAAGGGGCTGAGGAACGCGGCTAGCAGAACCTTGATTCATGCGCGGCTGGTTCTTGCCGCTGTCGGCAACACGGCCGACGTCGCCATGGTCCACAGTGATGGTGATCCGATTCTTTGTATTCACCTGACTTCTTTGGACTTAATAATGCCGACCTAATTATCAAAATTATCATATAGCTATAAGAGAAAGTTGCAAAAATTATTATATTATTTAAAAAAATCATGCCAAACACATTAAGAAACAATTGTACAGTTTGTTCCTATCTACTTGAAACACAAAAGAATTGTTATGAAACACAAGATGAAAAGATGAAAAAAGTGGGAGAAGGAAGGATCTGCGTTTGTGGGCAAAGGTTAAAAAGGTCATTTCAACATTCAAATTGGTCAATATAAAAGTAAAAGGGCAAAAATGTCAATTTATTACCATTAGGGTATTTTTGGTAACTGTAACAAACTTGAGGGGGTGTCTTTGTCCCAAAATAGGGTCAGTTGTATTTGTATATTTTTTTGGTAAATCTCAAGAGTTGTGTGATACCCCTCAGATCCGAGACATGGGTTGATCAGGCCCAAGCCCAAACCCGATGGAATATCAAACAATTAATATTTAAAACGAACACAGATTACAAAATGATTTAAGAAATAAATAAAAGTTGAAAGAAATCTAAGTTTAAAAATCCTTGAATAAAATAAAAATCAAAATCCCGAAATCCCATCCTCCATAAAACCTCCAATAATTGAATAACTCGGGAATCCATCTCTAGTGAACTCCTAATAAAAAAAATCCAAACTGAAATCAAACTACTAAAAGAACATCCGGAATGAAACCATAGAGAGAAGTCCTACGTTGTCGGAAGAGTGAGTAGTAATCTCTGCTCAGCACGATCAGGTTTAAGTCTGGAACTGACGAGTACATGAAAAATAGAAGTGGTTCAGGCCCACGAACAAGTTCTATCCTACTATAATCCAAGCAGAGACTCGATATGCATATACATTCTAACCAACTCAACAATATCTATATAATCAGTATATATATATATATATATATATATCCACATTATGGGACTCTCACTGAACTATGATGAAGGTCTCAACTTGAGTAGAAGGCAACATGCAAAACGCACCTGAGTGGGTATGACTACCTAGCCTAACAGGGTATACCTCAACTAACATAGTCAGCTACGCATCTTACTGCATATATGTTCCCTAACCGTCGACTTTGAGACTCATGCTCATATCACGGTACCATATAAATATATTTAAAGTCCTATCATATCCATTCATAAGAAGTCCAGTTAGTCATTCAGTATGTGCAGTTTTTTTGACTTAACAAAGATAACAAGTAATCCCGTCAGTCATTCAGCTTGTGTAGCTTTTTTGACTTAAGTATAAGTAGGATTTATATTATAACCCATTCCTTTATTCCGTATAGGTAGGATTTAGTGTTTTAAAACTAATCCGTCCCTAGTATGCCACCATCCTATACTAGTGCACACAATCCATCCATCCAGTAGTTGATAATATAGATAATAAATGTAACTTCCAACTAATCCACAGAGTCCATATAATTGATAGACCGTAAATAAATGTTTATATCAATTAATTCCATACAAAGCATAATAAAATTTTGTAACCTAACATGCTTGTCTTATTCTACTGTTACATGATTCTTGCATAATTTATAGCACAGAAAATAAACATAAACATCCTTTACTCCGTGATAAACATAATAATGATAATAAATACATTAGCATGCTTACTTGATACCACTTAAAACATGATTTAGATTATAAACCATTCACAGAAAAATTGCTACAAACAAAGTTAAGCAATTTAAGTTTTTCACTTCCAAAACAGAATACTAATCTACTTAAAAATTATATACTGTTCAAGCAATACACATTAGTTGATTTGTTATCATGCCTCCTGGAGCCTTAATATGACTTTATGCATCATTAAAACTTCCACATACAACCCTAAATCCATCTGGAACAACAAAAACCAACCCAGAAAACCAAAATATGCCAAAACTGCAACAAAAGGGGGTGGAGCCGCCTCCCCCACTCGGGGAGCCACCTCCCCCTTGAGTGGAGCCGGCTCCATACCATGTGGAGCCGCCTCCACACCACCTAGAGCCGGCTCCACCCTTGTGTAGAGCCACCTCTTCACCCGCTCTTCTTATCTGCTTGTTTTCCTTCACCTTTTCCCTCTCCGGTGACGTCCAATTTTATCTGTCCTTAACTTTAAAGGTTTCTACTAATTAAAATTAAGTTCCAATGTTCCAGAGATTTTAGAAATCATTAATCTTTAATCCACTTCAATTTGAACAAAAATATGCAAGGAAAAATTAAAACAAGCAAATACTAATCATGTAAGCACATACAGTTACAGACGAACATAAACATGCAAACCAGATTAATATTAATACTTCCTAGTGTGGTACAGACTAATTCAACTCTTTATGC